GTGACTAGAGATGAGCGGCGGTGCCCCAAGTGGGGACGCGGCCTCTAGGGTTTGACTCCACTCCAGGAGAGAGAAAACCAACCCGAAAGTAACCGACTAAAACCTTCGTGGGACATGGGGCTTGAGGTAGAAATTAAGTTGAATTATAGGAAAATATAGTTGTATTTCTTGTACATCTTTGTTTGGGGGCGGACATTCACATGCAAAGAAATACTGGGTTTTGTAACGTTTAGGGTAAGCACCGTGGGATGTACGCTATTTGACGATGCCCATTCAGCCCAAACTCTAACTTATTAGTTGCGCAATGAATTTACTAGCCAACCTGTAAGATAATTAAGATTAATTTTTAAATCCATTCAATTTCTGTACATACCACTTTCTATTAAAGGAAGGATGAGACGGGTGTGTGTTTGAACGGTTACTCTGTAAGTGACTCCATAAAATGTCAAGTGCAGGAAAGCAGGGGGCCTGACAAGTGTCATTCGGTCACACACACCACAGGAGACCTCTGGACGCACAAGCCCAGCTGTAGTCTAGTCAACACAGACCAAAGCAAGAGGCTTATCAGGCAGATTCAAGGCATAAAGCAGTCTCCCCTTCTCCTGGCGTCAGCTGAGCCTTCTGCAGAGACTGAAGTGCGTGGCATTCGCAGACGACTCTTTCAGTACTGAGTCACTGTAAGCGATTACTGTAAATACTACCATTGATTTTTTGCTGCACTGTGGTTCCTCCCTGTCAGCTGTCCAACCGAAATATAGTGAGTCATATACAATCATTTCCTAGTAGCCACACTGAAAAAGTAAAAATAAACATAAACTTTATTTTAATATTTTCTTTAACTCCATAAAAATATTTCAATATGTATTTAATATGAAAGATGAATTACATCTTATAACTATTATACCAAGTCTTCAAAAAGTTGGTATCTACATACATGTTCTAGACTTTTATACCTAAATTCAGGCTAGCCACATTTCAAGTATTTACCACATGTGTGCTGAAATGTGCAGCTCCAAGTAACTACAAATTAATCAAGAAAAAATTTACATAAGCTTTGGATTTCATCATTTTAGAGAGAGATGCCTTTTGCTTTTACTTCAATCTCTATAGATAGTTCCAAGACAGAAATTCATACGAAAACCCCACTAGGATGCTGTTTTACATGCCTGCACGCTCTTCAAGGCTTGGCCTACGCCCGTGGGCACAGAAGGGACCGGCTTCGTGTCTGTGCACATCTTATCACCTCCCCCACGAGGACTTCGTAATTTCCTTCTTAATATGAAAATATGCTGAAATCATACTGTCAGATTCCACATTCATTCTGAAACAGCTAAAATATACTGAGTTATTTTTTTAAAAAGATTTTTACCAAGTAATGAATGTTCGCAAAAGAGAGTACCTGCCTCCTGACATTCTCAACAGCAGGGCCCAGGTGCTCTAAAGCTTGGTGATCTCGCCCTGGCTGGCCTGGCTCAGTGGGCTGGGCGTCGTACTGCAAACCGAGGGTCACTGGTTCAACTCCCAGTCCAGGCCCGGGCCCAGGTCGTGGGCCAGGCCCCCACCTGGGCACGTATGAGAGGCAGCCGATCAATGTTTCTCTTGCATATCAAGCTTTCTCCCTCCCTTCTCCCCTCTCTAAAAGTAAATAAATAAAATCTTAAAAAAAAAAAAATCTAACAACCGTGATCTTTGCTAATTTAGTTTGTGGGAAGTGGCATACTGGTACAGTTTTACTATTTTCCTATTATGAATGCAGATTCAGAGTATTTCCACATCTCCAAGTCATTTTAGTTTGTTTTCTGTATATTGTGTTTATAGTATATATTCTCTTATTTTGCTTATTTGTCAAACTTTCCTTCAGTACAATTGTATCAGTTCACAAAGCACTATGCCTGACCACATTGGTCAACATCAAGACTTTTTATTTTTGTCAATCTAACTGACCAGAGAGGTGGGCAGGGTACATGTTCTACTTTCATTTGTGTTTCCTTCCTTCCTGGTGAGTTCAGGTGTTTGTTCACCAGGCTCATTGCCCATTTGTGCTTCCTAATCCTTGCCCGTTTTCTATTCCTCATTGATCCGTAGGGTTACAGACAAGAACACGACACTCTCCCTAAGACCCAGTCTCAGCAGCTGCGTGGAGACCAGTCAGGCTGATGCTCTGAATCAGGAAAAGCCACCTGTCCTGTGACAGCTGCAGAATCTTGGGGGACAGACCCCAGCAGACTCCTGGGTACTCCCTGTCCCTGAAGCCCTACTCAGGCAATGGTCCAGTCTGTGGGTGACAGATCATGCCTCTGCCCTGCACTGCTTGGGACAACTCACAAGGATGCTGTTCTCCGTGTCTCACGTGCTGGGTGGTCCTGTGCATAGGCCGTCAGCGCGGCAGCGTCTGGGAAGTCACCGGCCGTGGGAAACGCCCCAGGGACAGCCCTGCCTTCCTGGCACGCTGCCCAACTTCCATTCTCATTGCTTTTCTATATTATAAGCTTCCCAAGAGGCTTAACCCATCAAACGTGTGATTTGTTTTTTAAAGAAAAGTGCTGCTTTAATGGGGGTTGTATTTGGCTGCAAAGAACAAAGTCATGTTAACCCAGAAAGACCGCTGCTCACACGCCATCTGCGGACCTGAGAGTAGGAAACAGATGCAGGCGGGGCTCACAGGCACCCACCCAAGGAAACCGTTTTATATTTAGAGATGGTAACAATCACATAAAGTTCTCCTCCATACCAATCATTAGAAAAATCCATCCTACAAGAAACACGGGAGAGTAACGCACTGAGGACAAAGCATTACCAGGCAGGTGGGCGCATCGAGCTCAGGAGGACCAGCGACTCACCTGCTGGAAACAGACATTCTCGGAACCGCAGGAACGGAGGCCGGTTAGACGCGGCATGACCGGGAGTTCAGCACAGCGAATGCCCAAGCGCCCTCCGGCCCCCCGCCGCCCGCGAGGAGCTGCCCAGCCCCTGCACTGTTCCAGACGCTCCGCACCCCACCCCTCGGCCCCCGACTCCTCCTCCAGGGTCTGTGCTGAGATGGGACGCTCGCCGCAGCAGAGAGGAGCAGTGAGCCCGAGTCCCACAGTCTCTAAGTGACAGCATGTGCCTGCCTGCACAGGGCACACAGCAGTGGCTGCAGAAAGGGAAGTGAAGAAGGAAGAGGAAGGGGACAGGGCAGGGCAGAGGGAGGCATCTGGAGCAGGAGGGTCCAGACTCTGCGCCAGCCAGGGAGCAAGGGCTTCGGTTTCTTCACGTGAAAGTGGTGATGATAAAAGCACTGCCTCGCTGAGACGACAGAGCAAACACAGTAGCAACAAGGGCCAGTGAGGTTTTGCTTTGTGAAGATGATACTGAGCTACTGCAAGGTGGCCAAATAAAATCAGTTTTGCCGTTGAGGAAGCAAAGCCCACTGAGATGCACAAAGACAGCTACGCAGCAGGCATTGTAAAAACGGAAACGTGAGTCCTGAGAATGAAGATATCCTGTACGCAGCTACATCGTAACATCGGCGGCACACATTCCATGAACTGAATTAAACAAATGCCTATCAAGCAATTACTATGTAAAGTACGGGGAGAAAGACATTCACTTACCCACAGACCACACGCACACGGAGACCTGAAAGATCCTGGACAAGGAGGACTCGCCGCGTCACCTGCAATACAGGCCGACGGTCTGTCTTCCCTACGGCAGGGGCCTCGCCTCTTTGTATTTCTAATGTCTACGGTGTGAGTGTCTGATTGTAGTAGGGGCTAAATAAATATTCTGTTGGTTAAATGAATTAAAGAATAAATGAAAGCGTAAGTGCACGGGGTTTCCCCTCGTCCTTGTCTGTCTGGAGGAATTACCCAGCAACTGTGATTTGGCTGTTTCTGCTCACTGTCTCTCTCTGCCCCTGGGACGGGAGCTCCGGGACAGAGGGGTCAGAGTCTGAACACCTTCACGATCACCTCCCGTGTCCACAGGCAGGCACTTGCCCAAGGAGCGCTTATCTTGTCTTAGAAACTGCCAGGGGGAGATTCACTGCCATGTTACTTGATAACCTCTCCAAAGTCACCTTCAGACTGTCCTTCCTGAGGTCAACTGAGCTCCTGAAACACACACCTGCTGCTGACCATTCTGGACCAGCGGGAGCACAGGCAAGCAGAACGCTCACCACGGAGTCCAGCGACTCTTTGTCAGGCCTTTCCCTCCCTCCCTCCCTCCCTCCCTCCCTCCCTCCTTCGGTGTGTCTGGTGTGTCTGCGGCTCTGCTTCGTGGGCGGAGGAGAATGAGTGAGCCGCCAGGACACCCGTTTCTGGAAGGCATCCTGTTGGTTGCTGACCCCAACGGGAGAGGTGGCCACCTCCACCCACCTCTGGCCGCAAGCCCCGGAAATGCACCAGAGGGGCAGCCGGCCAAGGGACAGGGCTCTGGGCCGGGGAAAGGGCCCCGGCAGCCCCGGGCCTGTCCCAACTGCCTCGGGGGGCTGAGACCGAGTCACTAGTGGCACAGGCCCTGGGGCCCCCCCCGCCAGGGGCTCCAGGAAGGCTGCCCCTGCCCCAGCCCGGGGGCCCCAGGTGCCCTGTGAGACTCCCTCATGCTGGTGCTGGTTCCAGGGTTTCCCCTCCATGTGCTCTGTCTTCGTTTGTGGAACCCGGAGGCAGCACTTTTGAAATAGGGCATTTTAATTGAAAACAGGTCATATGGCCTGTTCAATGGAAATTCAGACGGGCCGAGTGCAATCAACAGATCGCACGCACGTCTTCGTGCAGCTGACCTGCGTGGACGCACGGGACACCCGACATGGAAGAGCAGCCTGCAGACGCGTGCAGGGGGCGTCTGCTCGTGTGTTCTCAGCGATGTAGTTATGCAGTACTGGTGGTTTTGTGGGGCGTTACTATGTTAGTAATGTAAGAACAACAAAATAACAATAATGTTCAAAACATTTATTTACTAAGCTGCTTTGAAGTTGATTTATGTAAGGTAATTTCAACAAATAAAATGTTTAATGAAAAAGTGTGGTTTACAATGTACTTGTCGCTACAAAAAAAATCTTATTTACAAGTTCTTTTAAGTAAAAGTAGGTTTAAAAAATTCATTATGCATTACTAATATAATAAAAATGAGTTTCTTAAGCGTCCAGTGAAATCTTAAGAGATGAACCAACATTTTTCATTCATACTCAGAAAATCTAATATGCTTACTTGCTTGTTGAGTCTTTGCAAGTCTAATCTTTTCAGCTTTGTTGATTAACTGCGGAGAAAAAAATCAGAAATTAGAATGTATTGTATACCTAAAAACAAAAAGATAATTATGACTAGAAAAATTTTACAACTATCAGCTTGAATAAAATTTCTTTCAAAAGATGGAGAGGAAGACAAATGAGATAGTAAGACTTAGGTCAAATCAACAGAAAGAACTGTCAAGATCATGATTTTCCATGTAGAATAGGTATTAAATCTTTAAATTATCTAAAAACCTTCCATTTTAATTCCGAGTTACTAAAAATGTTACAATAAAAAATAGCCACACTCCAGGCAGGCGATTTCTGTTACCTGCCCGGAGGGCTCAGGACCGACCGTGGGCTGCGGCCTGTCCGCTGGGGCCTGGGCAGCGGCCTGCAGAAGCCCTGGCAGGCTGTGCCACCCGCCAGCGAGTGCCCTTGAGGGCGCAGGCTTCCTGGGGGCAGACGGCACGTCTCGGGCTGAATGCTACCCAAAGGTTTGCTTACACATTTGAACTTTAAAATGTCCCAAATACAACCTGCTGCTCAGAGTACTTCTTATTCAATATTTATTACCCCAGAACACAAATCTGAATATTTTCAAAGAAGGCATGAAATTACGTGAAATGAGGAAGACCATTAAAAATGTCTAAATATTCCAGAAGCTTTCTTGATAAAAACATTTTAAGCATTTTAGTTGGCTTTGGAAGAAATGGAAATCTTATTCTCACAAAAATACAGATTCTGATGAGTCATCGCTAACAGTTTCTTTCCAGTGTCTGTGACACGTGGCCCTTGGCAGGACACTTTTCGGTCCCACGGAAGGTCTGCTCCCTGGCGAGTCGGGTGGCGGCTGCCATACCCACTCGCTCTCAGCAATGTTATGAGTGACCTGATGAGTATCTGACATACCAGTAACTGGGAGAAAACCACGACGTTGATAAAAACAACAAGCATTCAAACACGCGTCCTTTCACGCGGCGGTGGAGCAGGCTGGGCTGTCCTGCCAGGGAAGCGCCTGCGTCTCCCTGTGGGCTGCGGGCCTTCTCTGCGTAACCTCCCTCCCCTCACCGAGGGGCTTGCTCTGGGCTCTCCAGCTACACCCGTCCGCCACCCTCGCCTCCAGGCCTCTGCACTTCCTGTGGCCTCCCAGGAAGCGAGCGTCTGAGATTCCTGGCTGTCGCTCCCCCTGCGAGGCCCCAGACGCACGCAGCTGAGGAGCAGGCTCCCGGGGGAGCCTCGTTGTATTTTCCGCACAGCACTGTCCCCAGCGCCTACGCTGTCGCTCAGGGCTGTACCCTCAGTGAGTCTAACAACAGTGGACACTCAAAAATATGGACTGGCCCTGGCTGGTATGGCTCAGTGGGCTGGGCATCGTCCCACAAACCTAAAGGCCGCCAGTTCGATTCCCCGTCAGGGCACGTGCCTGGGCTGCAGGGCAGGACCAGGTTGGGGACGTGCAAAAGGCAACTGATTGATGTTTGTTTCCCCCTCTCCTTCCCTTACTCTCGCTAGAAAAATAAGTAAATAAATTTTTAAAAAATTAACTACACAGGCTGACAGAAAAGCCAGGGGGCACGATAACCGTGGCCTGTCCCTCTCCTCCGGAAAGCCTGGCAGGGCCTGTTTCGTGTGGCTCTTCTTTTCATTTTGCCAAAGGAGCCACCTGGCTGCTCTGAGGACAAGCCTGCAGGTGCAACAGGTAAGCGGGGCCGGAAAAGGACCCTGCGCCTCAGGGATGGAGCTCCTCCCGGTGCTTCAACTCACTTTATACTTTATAAACCCGCAGTTGATGTTTGTTTCCTTGCCTCAAATTTACAAAAATTGGATCTTTCTGAAAAAACAAAATTACTAATGTTACAAATATAAAATTTAAATAAAATTACACACCAATTACAGATAAAGTATGATTTAACAAAGTAGCTTCATGTCCGTGCTGAGTTGGGGATTAGTGACTTTAACATTTAAATAATCTCCAGCAGGCTTTCAAATTAGCTCCTCAGAGGCGGGACAGGGTGCCGAGGACGGAAGGCTCCTGGCGCGTGAGGCCCGCAGGCAGGGAAACAGAATTAACCACGACCAGCAGGGAACCTCCCCACAAATCATCCCGCATTCCAGTGAATGCAGGGGATGCAAGGCTGGGGAAAAACACTCGATGTTTAGGTTTAAGAAAAAAAGAATTTTATACATAACATACAAATCCAAACCAACAAACCTAGAATACAGAAACTATGACTTTTTAAGTGCTAACCAATGATAAAAGGATGTACATCTTTACAGCTTTACCTGACTTTCATAATTTACATTTTAAAAATTTGATAATAGTGATTTAGTTATTATGTACCCTGTTCTGTTCTAAGCATTTTAAAATGCACTAACCTTTGCATGTATTATAATTTGTTTTAAAATAATACACTTGACAGCTCACTAGAAACAATAATGATTTAATAAATTATTCATTGTCACTTAAAGTTATTGAAAGAGAAGCTTGCTTTACATTGGTTAATGTACTTAAATTTGTTTATATCACCTGTTGACTATTCTAGAGAAAAAGTAACAAAGCTTATCACTCATACAGGGAACATCATGCATAAAGTTGCTCAATCTTATCTCTAAAGGCTGTATCCTTAAAAGCGACACTCTAAATACTTTGTGCCTTCATCCTTAAGACAATGTTTGAACAATCATTTACCATCTAGCTAGAACCACAGCAGCCAGAGATCAAGGCTGCTTTACGTTATACAGCTAGTTTAAAAGAGGAAAAGAAAGGAAGGAGAAATACAAAACTCTAAATTAAATCATGTACCCTTGTGGGAAAAATAATTCTAATTTCGTGTATTTCTAAAATCTCGAGAATAAGAATTCCCTCTCAATCTAATGCACAGTGTGTACCATGTAAATGCCTGTTATGTGCAGCAAAACCACGGTTATTTTAGAACCGCTCATCACTGTCAGAGACCATCGGCTTCCAAAAAAGGCTTAGGCTACCAAAAAGACAAAACAAAACAAAAACCCCCACAAAAGATAATGAAATGAAAACGAAATGAAAACAAAATGAGAGCGACTGATCACCTTCTCAGTGCCTCTCTTCTTCTCCCGAGGCTGGTTCAGCTTGGCCTGCCTGTCTACCAGGATCTTCTGCCAATACCTCTGTTCACGATCCCCTGAAAACAAACGGAAACGCTGGTCACTGAACCTGAGGCTGCCTGTGAGGAAGCAGTCAAGGCATTACGCTCTCTGTAGAACCGGAATCATTGTCAGATTGTATTCAGTGCTACTTTACGCATGTAAGAGGACCCAAAAAATACTAGTTCCATTAGCCAAACTCAGAAAATATAATACAACCACCCCACAACACAACTGTTACAAAGGAGGGTTCCATGAAGGTTTACCAGAAAGAATCTCGAGTTGCCAGCAGTGTTTCTTTTTAATCTCCACATGTGCGTCTATCACTGCCTGTGCATCCTCCGGGGACTTAAACCTCACGTGGCACTCCGTGTCTCCTTCCAGCAGGTCGACATAGACCACCTCTGAGACTGCTGCCAAGGTGTCCTGCAGCAGAGGTCAGAGAGACGCGATGTGAAACAAATGTTTCACAACAACGCTAACGTTTCTCCAATGGTCATGTCAGAAAGTGTTACGCCACCAGAAGCTTAAAATGACAAGTAACTACTCTACATCAAACATTTCTTCTAAAATATATGCATATGATCTTAAAAATTGACATGGACACACTTCAGAACCAATCAGACATCGACTCTAGTCATAGCTTTCTTTTATTCAATCACATCCTTAAAAATCTCCCTGGAATGAAAACATTGCGTAAGGACAACAGACTTGCAGAGCAGAATGGACAGAAGCCTCCCTTCCAGCCTCCTGCCCACACGGGCGCCAAGCCTGGGTGTAGTCGGAACGAGGGGTAGGACTAAAAACAGGATCAAAACCCCCACAATGGACTGGGGTGAAGGTGGGTTTCTCTGCACCTCTGTACAAAGTAACTTAGGACTTAAAATACACATGCAAAACATCCAACTTTTTATAGCAATTCATGCAAAAAAAAATTTTTCAGTGAACCTACAAAAATTCTAGGTTTCTGAGTGGATCTTTGAGAAAACAGCTCAAACCCTCTCTCTCTCTGGCGGCACAGCTACGCAGCCCCCGAAACAAGCTGCAGTCCTCCACGCGGAGGAAGTGCCCCCCCCAGGCCTGCTGGGAGGCCCAATTAACAACATTCCTGCATGCGGAATCCTTCTTCACAGCAGGTTCTACAGTAAATACAATGCAATTATGCAGGAATGTTACACTAATTCTTCATTTATCAGTCTCAACTCATACAGTTAAAGAAATAACTGAAGATTCCCAACCAAAAAAAAAGAAAAAGAAACAGAAAAAAAAGATGCCTTATCCATCTCAGCCCCTTTAATTTTGATCTAAAATTTCAAGCCACAACTAATTTAGGTTACTTTTAGATGCTGGATTTTTAAAGTGTGAATTACAGGCAACTGAGAAAAAGCTAGAATTATTACTTCATCAAAGAATGAGGAACGTTTAGTAGTTAATAACGAAGGGTACATATGTAAATACCTGAGTCTACAGAAGCCAGGGACGAAGTCTTAACGCTTACATTTACAAAGGGGGCACCTAATAAATGTGTGCGAGTTCAATGAAAATAAAAGAACAAACACACTTGTCTCTTCTTCCCATTTCTTTACCTAGTTAATAGCACTAACTCTACACGAAAGGCCAAGTTGATAATATTTGACCATTCACTGGCAGTACAGCCACGTAACTGATTCTGTAGCTTACTAGAGTGCCACCGTTAGAGGCGTTCACTAAACCCGCATCCGCACCACAGCGCAATCTCTGGGCGCAACGCTCCCTGGGCTGACAACTGGCCGGGGACCCACAGGGCACGTCGCAAACAAGTCAGGCCCGCACAGCTCAGTTTTGTTCCGGCAAACTGTATGTAACTATGAGCTTGATTGATAGGTACTTTATGACTCTGGTGATCATAAATGAAGGATTTGTAATTGACAGAAACCTACGTCATTCCAAGTAACGAACTTCAAGTAGTTTTTCTATTAAATCTTCTGCAATATGACCAACCACAGCAGCGTTTCTGTCCTCCATTTTATCCCTGTCCTGTGAAATTCCATATTCTAACAACACTGCAAACTGGTATTACCAACTTGGAACAAACCAAGCCCCCGACCTGTACCCCAGGGGAGCCTAAGCTCACGGGCCCTGACAGCGACAGGAGGTGGGGAGACGGTTTCAGAGGGAGGGAGCCCCTGCCTGCCGCGGCTGGGGGGGCGGGGGTCGGGGACCCACGCAGGCTGTGCCTGGTCCTCTGTGCTGAGCGCCTTCTCACCCGACCGACCGGGTGACAGGCTGAGGAGCCGCCTCACAGAGAAGCAGTCAGTCAGAAACACTGCTGCACTCGTGTTCAAAAAGTTCTGTTACATAAATTACATAAAGTAAAAAAACCCACTGTCAAACAGCACTTGCAATGTACATTATGGAAAAGTCTGGATACACTTGCACGTTCACATAAAACTTCTATAGTTTTTTAAAACACTTGACACTTTTCTGTAATTGTCTCAAATTTTTAAAACAATGAGCATGGACTGAAAATACCAAAAAAGATTTTAAACATTAAAAAAGGCTTTTTTCTTCCAAAACACCGTGCATTTCTCAGGAAAAAAAATTTCAATTCACAAGAGAATTCATCAACAGGCAAAAAAGTCTAAATACAAGTGAAGAAAAAAACATGTACCTATTATCTCTTATTTCAAAATAGTTTTGACTTTTGGGACGGCCAAAATCTTTTACGAGTTTACTGAAAGCTAAGAGCGCTAATGAAAACAAAAAATTATCTAGTTTGCTTCAAAACCTGACAAGAGCAGGTAACTGCAATTTTAAAATAATTTGAGACCAACTCTCACGTTGATTAAATTGTCTAAAATTTCACTTCTCTGAAAACAAAACCAGTCCCCTACAAATGGGATCCTGGGGAAGGGCCTCGCCGCACCCACTCCCTCAGCCAGCAGGACGGCGGCACGGCCTCCCTGCCTGCGGCCCCAAAACGCACACACCGCGCCCTCCCCAGAGAAGGCGTCTGCGCTCACAGTAAACGTGGCCCAGCGAGGAACGTGCTCGTGGATTCTGCTGCAGGTCGAATTTAAGTGTCACTATGGACTCAAACCCTACAGAACACATTCTAATGCGATTTGTTTTCATATTCCACACGTATTCCCACCCGGGGGGCGCGCACCCTGGGGACTCTGGGCCTCACCCTGACTTGCTTCCTGCCCGGCAGGGGTTCGGCGCTGACGATCTTCACAATCACCCCACTCACAAACTGCGGCCCCGTGGCGGGGACCTGCGGGGGACAGCGCTCCTCCTCGTTTGCTGCTGATGGAGCAGGAAAAGACCAGAAAAAACTCTTACACCTAACCGTTTATCACGTAGGACCTCTCTAGAATAACATCATCATGTCTTAGGCTGCTTTAAATAATTAATTTACTTAATTTAAAACTTAATTGTAACATAATTTATGTAATTAACTTACGTTGCAAGCCATTGGGGTTCAGAACAAACTACCCTAACAAAGTCACAAGGCTGACTGTTGATTACCATGAAATAAAATACAAAAACTTTTATAACTGTAAATGCAAACTGTTACTTTTAGAAGAACACTTGTAAATTCTTCCACAAAAATGCCTCCTTTCCCTGAACCAAATAACAAAAAGTACTTAATAGAGAAATAAACAAGCATGGACTATAGAATATTCTATATAATCATTCAGATGTGAAAATTTAAAATATATCCTAATATTAAAGATTTTATAAGAATCTTGATTTTTGATTTGTTTCTGCTTGTGGGTAATACTATGGAATGAAATGACAAGTGAGAAATTACCAACCTTTGTCTATACAAACTTAATTCATAAACTAGGCACTGGTTACTAAATCTAACTTACGAAAACTAGGGAAAATGTAAATAACTGATTAGAAATTATACTGCTTTAAATGAGTCCTTAGAACGTTCTTATATGAAGAATAAGTCACACATCTGGACAACTTGCTAAATCAGTAATTTTTCTAATGACTATTGTATACTTAAGTTTTTAAAAATTAAAATTCATCCTATAACACAGAAATAGTATTTTAGTATATAAAAACAATACAAAAACTATCATAGTGTTTACATTTTTCATTTTTCATTCCAGACTTATTACTTTCTTCATGGTCTATTTCCATTTTTGACTCCAGTTTTATTTGGGATATTGTTTTTTTTAAAGAAGCCATACTGGCTTTTTGCAGTGCTAAATATTCTTTTTTCAAATCCATCCATTCGGTCCTGTAAAGAAGAAACCGTACATTAGAAATCACAGGTGATTAAATGTATCCACTCACTTAAACACTCAGGTTATTCCAAACCCACCCAGCAAACAAGCACAGGGGGCTGCCCCTGCCTCAACATTCACACTAAAGGTCTTTAATCCGCCGTTCCCATTCTTGAGCATGCTTCCACTTTAAACTTTGGAAACCGAAGTTTTAAGTTAATTAACTGGTAACATTTACTAGAACAGTCACCTCTGGGGGGAGAAAATGGGAGATTGAAATTTAAAGATTACTTGTTACATGGCTTCCAATTTCAGAGATAACATTCCTTAGTTATTTACAAGAAGGAAAAGGAATTCCTAAGGAAAAAACACCCCCTGGAAGCCACTTATTTACATGCATTCAGCACGGAGATGCTCCCTCCAGACAGAAACACAATGGCCCTGCGGGCCCCTCCGAGCCCCCATTGTCAGCCCTAATCTCGGCCATCAAACAGGCAGATAGGAGAGGGTTTTAAAAAGCAGGGGATCTTGTGGTAATGGTTTTAGCTGTTAACATTGACATCTGTATACTTCAAATAAAAAAAAAGTTCCAGACCCACCCAGGATCAGACCTTCCCTGAGAGCTGAGACATTAGAATATCAAAAGGCCCTTAATGATTCTCGAAGATAAAAAGGCAAAAGAAATTCAGAGTTAAGGATCCTATAAATACAGGAGCCAGGAATCCTTGCCTTTTAACCTTCTCGATGACGACGGGACCCTCCGGAGCCTCTGGCCCAGGGTAGTTAAGAAATGGTTCTTCCGGAAGGTTCTTCCAGAAGGTATGCGGGCCGCGCGCTTTCTCCCTCGGCTCCAGGAAGTCCAGGGCTCCCTTTCACTTTAACATGGAAGTGCTTTCTGTGACTTATGTAGTAAGTGCTTCCATGTTTTAGTAGAAGTGAGTCCCAATTAACAGCTGTGGATGGGAACCTCGCCCGTTTCCAGAAGCCACGGGGACCCCCCCTGCTTTAACATGGGGGTACCTGCTGTGTGAAACTGAGTAAGTGCTTCCATGTTTCAGTGGAGGTATCTCCAAACCCACGATCTTGGATCCAACTTTACTTTCTAAACTTACTTTACAGGTTGAAGCAAGATCAGGATTTCAAGATTTTCCAAGACTAGGCTCCCCACCACTTAAACGTGGATGTACTTGCTTTGGAACTAAACAAGTAAGTGCTTCCATGTTTTAGTGATGGTAAGTCTTGCTTTGCATTGTCTCAACCCTGACCCGCCGCCTGTGGTGTAGAAGTTCAGCTGAACTTAGGTCTGTTAAGAACACCCACTACTTTAACATGGAGGCATTTGCTTGACGGATAGAAATAAGTGCTTCCATGTTTTAGTGTGGTTGTTGCTTTTCCACCTTCCATTGTGCTGTGTGCAGATGTGGGCTGAGGCCGCCACTGTTGCTAATATGCAACTCTGTTACCACAGACTGGAATTGCACTTTAGCAATGGTGACGGCCTGGCCCGAGGGCCGACCCTGACCGCGCCGCCCACTCACTTGGATAGTACACGCAGGGGAATAACCTCTTCTCCCATTCTGTGCCTCTCCTTGTGTTTTTTCTTATGCTTCCTTTTTGTTTTTAAGAGTGACCCGTCTTTTACATCTCCCGTCTCCTTTTCCTCTTCAGTGGAGATTTCTATATCTTAAAAAAATAAAGATGGAACAAGTGTAATAGAACAACAAAAAGAGACCAAAATCAAGAAAGTTTTTCTTTTTTTTTTTTGGTTGAGCCAAACCTTAATTAAGGCTATAAAAAGCCCTAAATACCTTTGTTTTCTTTGGGCACTTCCGGGGCTTTTTCCAGGCTGTCTTTCTGGTCCACTTTCTTGACTTTGGATTTGGGAGTTGGGCAGCCTGTGTCCTCCGAGCTGCTTCGCTTCCTCTTCCCTGCCGGGGCTGGAGGTAAGCTGGTCCCTTCAGCTTTAACCCGCTTTTTCCTCTTCTTTGAGGGTGGCTTTTGGGGTTCAGTGCTCCCCCCTTCGGAGCCCTCCGACGTGGTCCTGGGCCTCTTCCCCTTGCCGGCGCTGCTCTCCTTCCCTGTGTCCGTGTTTGCCTCCTTGGTCTGCGCACTGTCTTCCTTCTTTACCCGGCCTTTCTTCTTTTTCTTCTTTTTCTTCTCTTCCTTCTCTTCTGTAACAATGCTAACATTAGTGCTCACTGCTGCAGCTGCAGCCAGTCAAATATTTTTACTTAAATGCCTTAACTCACCAGCTACTCGAAGGGCAGGAATGGGCTTATTTTTCACTGTTTTAGGAAATATCCCAGGTTTCCTCGGCGCTTCTTCTGGCGGGTTGTTAAGAAACTGAAATAAAACCAGCAAAATTTTGCTGCCATTTAAACACTTGGTAAATTTTTTATATTTTTCTTTTTTAGATTATGGACCTACCTCAATAGCTTTTGCCGCTTGTTCTTTTGTCTCAAATTCCACAAAGGCAAATCCCTTCGGATCGCCAGTCGACTTGTAGTGTGGTATGCTTACGTAAACCACATTGCCACATTTCCCAAACACTCTTTCAATCCAGCTGTGGTTCACGTTTTTGGGAAGTAACTCCTGTGATGAAAGTAGAAGCCAGGATTCTTACTGCAGGTCAGCGGGCTTTTTTACCTGGGTGTGGAGAGGCCCCCCGTGCCCGGTGGCCGTGAGCAGAAGGCTTACCACGTACACAGTCCGCTCGTCCTCGTCCTGGGGCCTCTCGCCCAGAGGCTGCTTTCTCCTGACCCTGGTGCCTTCCAAGTCCAGCTGCGGGGCATGCGCAAGGTTAGCAATCCAGTGCAGTAACGAGGGGAGAACCACACGGTGGGGAAACAGTTCTTACCTCTACGACTGCCGAGCTCTTCAGGGCTCTGGCTATTAATTTTTCATCTGTCGTCAACTTTTTCATTTTGTTAAAAGACACCAGAAGCGATATGTCAACATCTAAAGAAAATGTAAAAGTGAATTAAATTTTCAAATTACTGCAGTCATGGCTAGAAATTTCTTAACCCATGTCCCAATTTTTAAAGCTAATAAAGTTTTAGAATTTGTACTATATAAGAACACTGTCTTGAATTTTACTTCCTAGGCAAATGTGGGCCACATCTCTAATGCCCATCCATTCTCATCTGGAAAATCCACATGGTAAATCAAATTTCTAAAATTTGTCTTTAGAATGATTTTGGAATAACTGCTTTGGTTTAAAGTTCTAGAGTCCTATAAAGCCCTCAACCAAGAAGTACAGAAGTTTAAAAGTTCTAGTGTAATATGCGCATACACTCTAGTGTATAGTATATAAAACACTAAGATAGCAGTAATCTAGCGTATACTAATTAAAAGAATTAACATACTAATTCAGAAGTGAAAAAGGTAGTCAAAGGCAGCACATATGAGACCTGGCTCAATCATATACATAACTTCAACTTACATCCATCTCTAGATTTTTCTATCTGCTCTCGAAGAAATCTATCCTTGTGAAGATTTGCATCTCCAAACCAGAAGTCCACTTGCTTAGTGATGTCTGCAAGCACCTGTTTAACTCGAGACCGTTTCTTTTTCTCTACCTCTTTTTTTTCTGTATTTTCCTCTTCCATTGTCTTTTCTTGGTTTCCTCTTTCAGCTTCCATTCCTGTGAATTAGAAGTAAATACAAGTCTGGTAATAGAGGAAAATTTAGATGTCTTTAATTGTCTGAAGGGATAATGGACTCAAATTAGGCAATTTAGGCTACCAGGAGAACTTCAGAGGAGCAATTTCCAAACATTTCCAGCAATGAGCTGGGTAAACTATCATTGGTCTGTGGTTCTTTTAAACCAAGGTATCCTAGCATATAAAACCTGTATCCCTAAGCTTTAGGTTAAAGTGTAAGATTATGGAACCCCAACATTTCATCCCCACAGACCTCAAAGTTAATTCATTTACTTCCAATGAAATAACTGATTCCTGATGTTAGTTTTTAGATTGTTAGTTTTGGCTCACTACAGAGAAGGGGTGGGCAGGTCGGCTGTGGAATCGGCCCTTCTCAGGGGACCACCGCGTTCCAGCCTGAGCTCCTGGCCCCCCTCTCCTGCTGTTCTGGCCGGCTCCCTGCTCCCCATCCTCCAGCTGTTCCTCGAGCTCAGGCACTGCCTGCAGGCAACACGGCTGCTCCCTCACCTGCGATGACGAAGTGTTTCTGTGCCCTTCCGCGAGTGCAGGATGGATGAAATCAGTGTGTTTGCGTTACTTGCTGACGCTCCCGTCCCCAGTCCCTGGCACGCAGGAGTCACTAACACGCTCCCTGAATTTTGTCATCTGTACACACAAAGTGAATACCCAAGCAAAGTCTTAACATTGGGCCTGGGACTATGCCCGGCTGCCTAAGAATAGGTCAGTGCCGCTTGTGACGGTTTTCTTGGGAACAGCAGTGTTCAGATACATGGGCAGGGTTCTATCTATCTCCTCAGTCCCTATCAGCTGGAACACAGGCCTCAGCTGCGTGACCAGAGGACCTAACAGACTGGAGGGCAAAGGGAGCTGAAGCCTGCACAGACCGGGGCGACCGAGACACTGCCTCTCTCTGCGGAAGCCACACAGGCCTGCGGCAGGACCCGTGCAGCAGCTGTGGGTTACAGGCCGGGTCTGGGCAGGGGCTGCCCCGCCCCTGCTGCCGTCCCCACCCTCCCGGAAAGCTCAGCAAACCCGAGGACGCCCGCTCCTCTCTCAGAGTCTCAGCGAGAGCCTGTCCCTGCAGCAGAGGCTGCGCTCAGTGACAGAGGGCACAGAGCCCCCTTCCAATCTCCCAGCTCAGCACAGAGGACCTTGAGAACAGGCTTCAGCTGATCGGCCCAGTGTGAATTTTTAAAACAGGCCTGTGAGGAAGTATGTATTTACCTGACACTGGCGTAACACATAAGAGAGAGCTGCAGGTCAGAACGAGTTGTCAGAAAACAATCAGGTGCCTTCAGAGCTGCAGCCGCATCCCTCACCTGATACCCTCACCTGAGCCCACCCACCAGGCTCCCTCCCAGAGCAGCATCTGAGGTGGGAACTCCCTGGAGGACAGTTTCTTCGTGGGGCTTCCAGGAGAGTTTTCCTCCTCAACCTCCTCTTCCCGAGCCCCCACCCTGCTCCGCCTGCTCGGCCTGATGCCGCCCCGCACTGCCCGCATCGTCCTGGGCTCCCTTCTGACCCGCGCCCATCCTTTCAGAAGGTCCCGGTTTCAGCCGCTTGGCTCTAGGCTGATGGGGCACAAATCTCAATTCCCCAGCCCTGACTTCTCCCCTGAGCTCCCCATTCCAACACTCAACTATCGGTGTGACATCTCTACTTGTTGATCTGAACTGTGTATCTCGAGTTTAAAGTGGGAAAAATTAAACTCTCGAATTTTAACAAACTTATTTTTTGCCTCGTTTCCCACATCTCAGAAAATACCAATTACAGGACTGCAGAGGGCGAACCCCTGAAGCACCCCAATTCTCCTTTTCCTCAACCCTGCGCCCCTCCCCCGGCAGCTCGGCAGCATCCCCACCACCGGTCCGAGGCGGCAGGTCGCTGCCCTAACGTCAGCCAGCGCCGCCTCCCACCAGCACCCAGACGGGGCAACAGCCAAGCAAGCGTTTGTTTAAGTATGTAAATGAGACCACACGACCTGCTCGCACGAAATCCTCCAGAGATTTATCATCACACTCACCATAAAACCCCAAGTCCTACTCCCCTGGCCTGGGACGTCTCACTGGGGCCACCTCCCAAACCTCTACAGCCGCTCAGCGCGACCAGGACACGCCCCTCCTTCTGTCCCTGCAGCAGGCCAGGCCCTTCTCCCCTCCGCCCTTTGTACCCTGGCCATTCCCCCCTGCTTCCCGCAGGCCCCTGCAACCCTCCCTGGCTCAGACGCTTTCTCTTCACCCCGATTTAAACGCTTCCCTCCCTGCCCACCTCAACCCCACGCACCCCTGCCTCCTCTGGTCGCCTCCCCTTGCCACCGCCTCTGCCTGCCCAGAGGGTAACACGCACGATGAGGGCGGGGGCTTGAGCCTGGTCGCAACTAGACATCTGCTGAATAATCCAATAACGTATTTTAAAGGGTCTTCTGAACCGTAAAGTGTTAAGCATTACAATTCTTTTGTAAGCGGGTAGGATTACAAATAACATTCAAACGTACGCTGTGATTGTCAGTACAGAGGGATCCACTGCCGCCTCTCCTTTCTGAAAACGCCAGAAACGACAGCGGGCAGGCTACCAGCCCCGCAGCTCCCCGCCTGTCAAAGCCACCGTCCGAGGGCCGGGTGTAGCGCCGCACGCGCAGCCGCGCTCCTGCAGGGGGCAGGCTTTCCCCGCCACCCTCGCACCTGAGCCAAGAGCCCCCTCCACTGCGTCTCCTAAGCACTATTTTTGTGGCTCAGAGAGTGAAGCCAGAAACTCTTGCCCAGGTGCGCAACACATGTCTGCAACTGCAATTTAAAACGATGCTCTCTAGATACACAAATATGCCTTCACCTTAAAGGAAGGTAAGGGCTAAACAGACGGCAATGAAACCTGGCACCACGGAGCCTCTCCACGTAGTGGCTGCGGAGGACAGGCCGCCCGGCCGCGCTTTCTCGCCGCCCTGTGTTCCCCACGGGGGTGTCGTCACTCCGTTCACGCCAGGGGACTGTCCCCGCCCCGGGCTGCTGCTTCTCACCATCCTCGTCTAATTCAAGGATCCATATCCCCTGAGTTAGTCAATCAGGCTAATTACTAGCTGGTGGATTGTGAGCAAGTTACTGCATCTCTCTCCATGGGTTCACAAAATGTGGATGAAAATCATACCTACACACCAGGGTCTTGTGAAGACTAATCATGTACACAAAGCACTTCAAATGGCTGCTTTATGGCACAGGCTCAGTAATACGTAACCATTACCACTTACCGTTCACCAACCCGCCCCCAAGTCCCAGCAATCTGACCTCTGGAGAGGCTCTCATCTCCATCTGCTGTTTTCCACAACTACTGTCACCGTAACGTGGGGACAGTGTACAGACTGTCCCAAGTCACAGGAGCTGTGTAACTAAAACACATGTCTGATTTTGTGACTGGTGCTCAAACTCTCATTAGAAGTTTCTTAGCACCATCCTGTAACAGAGCACTTGTTTTTCAAACACTGTTAAATGAACCTGTGACTTTCAACTGGCTTCTAAACAAGAGCTTCAAACAAAGAATAAAAGCTACTGTGTAACAATGCCAATCAGTTTACACACAGGGTTTTAATTCCTCACCACCCCAGGAGGTAGTTTTTTCCAACTTCTTTTTCCAGAGGCTCAAAGATTCGGGGACCTGACAAAGCTTGGTGAGCTCAGGCGACGTGGGGTCGCCCATCCATTCCCTGTTCCACTCAGGGCCTCTTAACCCAAGGACACGGAATTTGAGGAATTCCCAAGTACACGGATGTCAGGAATTCTTGGGGTCCATGAAATGGTTAAACGATAAACTTTACTAGAAAGATAAAATTATGAGTCTTGTACAAATAGACTTTTAAGTAATTAATGAGGGAAATAATAGTGTTAAAGACCAAAGACAAATAAAAAAAATCAGACACACACAAATATTGGACTGACCAAAAAGTCCGTTATGTTTTTTCCGGACGCCGGCTCTAGCAGCGCTTAGCTGCCTTTAACTTCATTCAAAACAACTGTTAAGACTGTATTGTTACAGCTGTCATATCAGCATGCAATGAAAATCTAACCCAAATTGAGTTTTTTGTGGACATTTTAATGTTGAAGATAGAATAAAATATGCAACATTTCTGGTATATTATGCTTTATTATTTCAAGACAGGTAAAAACACTAATGAAACACACACAAAAGACTTGCGCCGTGTATGGAGAAGGTGCCGTGACTGACTGAACGTGTCCGAAGTGGTTTGTGAAGTTTCTCGGGGCCGCTGACATTGTACCCACAGACGCCTTTGCTGCGGGGCTGTCGCGTGCCCAGGAAGAGGCTCGGCAGCGCCCCTGGCCTCTCCCCGCTGGAAGCCAGGAGCGGGAGGCAGGTGGCACACTCAAAACATCCAAATCAATACAGTTATTGGTGAACATGAAAAATGTGTCTTTTATTTTCCGGGAAAAACATAATGGACTTTTCGGCCAACCCAATATAAGCACTGAGGAGAGCTGAAATAATTGGGTTAATAGATGCAAAACTGGCCGGGGCAACATCTGCAGAATGAATGAGCTGCAAGGCCAATTCCCATTGTTACCGTTTTCTACAAGTTACCCAGTTGCAAAGCAGCCCCGTGACAGCCAGGGCCCGAGAGCCTGGAAGGGCGCTGCCGGGGACAGGGGGCCTCTCTCCGCGGCCGCTTCAGAGGCTCGCCACCTCTCCCGGCGAGCGGTACGCAGGACGCTCTGACACCTGCGCGCATTTCCCCGGAAAGGCCCGTCCCTGGCTTTTACAGGTTTTTCAGGAACACGGCGCGCTCAAGGGGCTGACAGCCGTGGCGCTGGTCGCAGCGGGCCGGCCTCGCCGCCTCCTCGCCCGGGAAACGTCCCCGAGGCGCGCCCCCCGCCCCGCAGTCGGCACCCGGGTTTGCTCCCCTGCGCTCAAGTCTTGACAGAGAGAGTGACTTAGAGGGAAGACGCAGGTCCTCACTTCCGTTCTCCTCGGGCCACCAAAGCTCAAGCCTGTGACGTAGCGCAACTTCCCGTTAGACTCCCGCCCCAGCCGCTCAGTCCGTCGGCACGGACGCCGCAGGACCCCGCGCTCGCCTCCGCCCCCAGCCCCGCGCGTGCGCACCGACGGGCTCGCGGGGGCGTGGCGGGAAGACAGACAACTGGACGCAGTGACCTCACCGGACCCTCCCCCTCCTCAGCGGCTCTGGCTCCACTGGGAACTTACTCCGTTCGGGTCCCAAAATGCGGGCCAGAGACTGCGTCCTGGAGTCTTTTCCGCCTCCCGAGTCTCACAGTCGTGGTTGTGATCGCGTCATAGAGCGAGCGACATGCTCTCCCGGACGCCTCCGAAAGACGCTCCGAGGCGTAGCGCCGTCGCTACGTCCCAGGCGTGCGGCTCGGGCGCGGGACGTCGGCGCTTGCGGCCAATCAGAAGTTTGATTGGCGGGTGGAGACGGCTGTGCGGGCAAAGCGTCGGGTCGGCCCCGAGGAAGTGACGTCACGGCCCTTGGCGGGAGAATTGGAAGCGGGTTTGTGCTGTGAGTGAGAGACGAGTGCGCCTCCCGGTTTCCCGTGACTGAGGGCGTGGGAGCCGAGGCGGCGTCGCCGACTCGGGGGAACGGACAGAAGAGGCGACCCCAGAGCGGACGGTGAGGATGCCGTGCGGACCTGGTGGTCCCAGGGCACAGCCCCCGCGGACGCGTCTCCGCTGACGGGGGGCGGGGTCCGGGCGACGGGACCCCTCCCATCCCGGGTCGGTGGGGGCGCGGGGCCCGGCCCTTGAAATGGGACCGCGCGTTATTTGGATGGACGGTTTCTTACCAGGACATTGGTAAGAACCCATCCGAATTAGAGATTCGGAAGGAAGGCTAAAAACGTGTGGCACTGCCCGGGGACAGTGGCCGGGACGCCACGAGGGCGTCGAATGTTCCAGGCGGTGTGCGAACCGCACGTCGGGGCACCGGGCCGGCGGCCCTGCGCGTCGGCGGCCGTCGCGTCCCCCGTGGAAGCCTCTGTGCCTTCAAACCGTCCCCCAGCGGCGGGTCGGCACCGGAGTCGTTTGACAGGTGGACAGATGGGGACTTTCGGGGAATGTTTGTCCCGACACCTCTCTTAAATAGCACGCGGTGCTTTTGACTAAAGCCCTTTTCCCCGTTTCATGGTCAGGAAGCGGGGCTGACTCCTTTGAACGTAGGAAGCAGGGCTCTGCTGGGTGGTTTAAACTCCGACCGGCCTTTGCGTTTGAGGTTTAATCCTTGTCACCCAACCTGACACTTAGGAGAGTTTGGGGTCTTTGCATTTCGTTTAGGTTTTAACTCCCACGAGTAGAGCCTCTCATTTAGGGGAACAAGGTGTTGACCGGCAGTTCCCGAACGGCCGGCGCGTCCTCCGGAGCAGTCGGTTGTGGGGACCGCGCCCGCCCTCCGGGGCGTCGGGCGGAGCGTCCTGGCCGCTCGGTTTGGAGTCCTAAATCTGCCTTTTATTTACTTTGTGGTCTCAGGCAAATTGCTCACCTATTATCGAGCACAACCCCCCCTCCTTTTTTTTTTTTTTGGTAAAATAAACACAAAAGGTCATACCTACGCCTACACGGTGGTGGGCGCTTTGACCAGCACGCGGTGGCGCGGGGTCCAGGGCAGCTGCCCTTCCGCAGCGCCTGCGCGCCCCCGCCGCGTGCCGAGCACGGTGGGCCCCGTGCGGAGGGCGGCCGGCCCGGCGGCTGAGTCCGGTGGCTCCCGCGGCCGCAGCGGACGCCTGTTTCGCTGGCCCTCCGGGCGTCGTCCGGGCCTGCATCCGGGAGGGGCGGCCTGAGAGGCAGTGCGACGCCTCCGCGGCCTGCGGCTGCCCGCGGGCGGTGCGTGGAGCCGGCGCTGCCCGGAGCGGACTTCGGTCTTCGTACGGCCCCGGTCCCCGGCGTCTCCGGAAACCCGGCTGCGGCCTCGCCCTGTCTTGAGAGTCCAGGCCACTCGGCACGCGACCGAGGGCCTCTGGGCCCTGTTGTTATGGCCGCTCTTTCCGTGCCTCGCACTTGGCTCCTCCACTGCTGCTGCCTGGCGGACTCGCCCGGGCCTCGGTGCGTGCGGATTCCTCTTGGGAAGTGCCTTCCCGGGCGTCTTCCCGGTCACTGGTTCCCAGCCCACAGCTCGGCGGTGCGCCCTGCGGGCGCCGGGTTTGCTGCCCTCGGCGGGGGCGGCCCCGCTCCCGGGCCGATTCCTGCCCCATTTTACGGTAGTTACTGTGCGTCGCTCTGCAATACTGAAAATTCCTTGAGCTTGAGAATAGTGTTTTGTTCATTTTAGCCTGGCACATAGTAAGTACTAAATAAATAGTGTAATTTCTAAGTAATTTGTAGGGGCCTGTTTTATATGTATAAGTGAGAACGGGAATCCAGAATTACAAATTACAGTGTTATCGAACCCCCCGCCCCACCCCCGCCCTGGTCTTGAGGCCCGTGGCTCGAACTCGAGCGCCGTCCGCGTCGCCTGCAGGCTCCGTGAAACACTGCTGGGCCCTGACCCCAGGCTTCCCGGCGAGGTCGGTCAGGGCTGGAACCCAGCCGGCTTCCAGGGGATGCTGGTGCTGTGGGTCCGGGGGTCGTATCTGTGGAACCGAGGCTTTAGGGAAAAAAGTTTCTTTGGCATCTCCATTTCTTCACCAGCAGTGATTTTAGATTTTTCCAAGTTTGCCCACAATACAGCTTTACCCAGTGGCATAGAATAGCTACAGAACTGGCTGCGACAATATTGAAAATTATTTTTTCCTTGCAGAGAAATTATGTATGTTGAGTACGAGATAGTGGGTGGTATGTTGACTTGAAGGTGTAAAAGGAAAAATATAAAACACAGGGGGGCCCTCTTGTGGTGACAAAAACAATTCCCAAAACTAAAAATCAAAGTTCTGTACAAGGAACCCACCAGCCTGCGGGGAGGGAGACTCACGTTTCTGATCCAGGCGCTGGCACCTGGAAGGCTTTTTGCAGACCGCGAACCATTTGCATATTTTACTTTGTTTTCTCGCGTGTCCCATTCCTTCTCCACAGCGGGCTGCCACTCGCTGTGTGCCCAGGGGCAGGGGATTAGGGTTACCTTGGTAACTCTCCGACTCCTCTCTTGGGTCAAGAGTTTCTGGGGAAAATTATGTTTGATACTCAGTTTTTTCACCAGGGTTCAATATTCTTTGTCATTTTTCATTTTAGGTGTTATAAATGATTGAAAAACCACTGACTATTTTCTGGACCTTTCTAGTTTATCATTTCAGAAAACACAATGGAAAGCCAAGAATTTATTGTAAGTCTTACTGCTATTTTTTCCTTTCTTCCACATTTTACAAATGTTGCTAGAGTTTCCAGAATTGGCAAAAAAAAAAACCAACCCAACAACCCCAAAACCTAAAAGCAAGACACTTGGTTTACATGTCAGACAGTGAAGAATTCTTTAGTGTAAGTGTATGTGTTTCAAGTATTGCCCTGTAGTTTAACTGGCAACCCTTTCTCTTGTCTACTATGCACATATGTGCACAAAGTCCTTTGGAACAAAACCTTGCAAAGCTTCGGGACCAGGAGGTAATTTATTCCTCTTGCGGGACTGGCACACCACCTCTGTCTGGATCAGTGGTCTCAGAGGTTTGGTCTCAGACGTTCGGTCTCAGGACCCTTTTCTACTCTTGAAAATTATTGAAGACCCCAAAGAATTTTTTATTATGGAGCTCATGTCTATTGATGTTTTTTTTATTAGAAATGATAAGAGAAATTCTAAGAATATTTATTAAAAGCAACAAACTCGTTACACTTAACATAAATTACATTATTTAAAATGGCTGTTTTCAAAAACAATCAAAATAACAAAGAAACATTGCCAAGAGTAGCATTGCTGTTCTATTTTGCATTTCTATCCCTTTAACATTTGACATAATTCTCAGTTCTGCTTCTATATTCAATCTGAAATTGAATCTTACAGTGTTGCACATGAATAACCCATACACAGCTCCACTGTGCTTTCCCCAGGGAACGAGAGGGGAAAGGCAAGTAACTCCCTGAAATTAGTTTTGACTCATATACCCCGGAGAAGTCTTGGGGACCTGCAGGAGTCTCTGGACTGCACATTGAGAACTCACAGATCGGCAGTAGTGTGTACCTCAATACATTTTCCCTTCCCGCGATGACTAAGAAGCTCAAAATTATTTTTGTTACTAAGTTAACTTCAGTTTTTACTTAGATTTTATATCTCCTTTCTCCCCTTCCTTGCCTTTTACTACCTAGTTTCTTGTTTTAATTTTTTTTTAAAAAGTTTCACTCATTTATTTTTAGAGAGGGGGAAGGGAGGGAGAGAAATATCAGTGTGCGAGAGAAACATTGATCGGTGGCCTCTCGCACACCCCCGGCCCGCAACCCGACCCGCAACCCGGGCACATGCTCTGACCAGGGATTGAACCAGTGACCTTTTGGTTTGTGAGACAACACCCAACCCACTAAGCCACACCAGCCAGGGCTCTAGTTTCTTTTTTTAGTTGACTTTTTATCATTGTTATGATATCTGTGCTTTTATTTTGGTAAAAGATGTCTTAAATATATTTTGTTTGTAGAAGGGTATAAGATATATAACATTGAATGTTTATATTTAGAAATCATTTCTTCACTTTGTGCTTTTGGATATAAGGTACTGTATACTCATCAAAAGATGAAGAAATCAAAAGTGTGGCAAGATGGAATTCTGAAGGTCACTCACTTAGGAAACAAAGTAAGTTCAAAGCCGTCAATGACAGAAATCGAGAGCTCTGTGTCTGGTTTCAGTAGCTGGAGTCTGTGCAAGGTCATGCCCTTTAGACAGGGTTGGTCTCTGGATAGCTCTGTGCTCAGGTCAGGTCATTATCATTTTTAATTTTCTTCTTTATTGAATTTATTGGAGTGACATTAGTTAATTCTTCTGATTTGAATAGATGAATGTTCAGCCTGTTCCCATCTACATATATATCTATGGCTATATTTTTACATCCTCACCTAAGGATATATTTATTGATTTTAGAAAAAGGTGAAAGAAGAAAGAGAGAGAGAGAGAGAAACATTGATGTGAGAGAGAAGCAGCAATTGCTTGCCTCCCATGTTGCCCTGACGGAATTGAAACTGCAGTCTCTTTGGTGGGTGGGGCAGTGCTTCAACCAGCTGAGCCACTCAGTCAGGGCCCTGGCTATATATTTTTTAGTCACTTGTCTTAATCCACTCTTTGTCTTCATCCACTGTCTGATGTTAGTCTGTGTAATTTTTTCTTTTATATTCTTTCTATTTGGTTAGACCAAGTCTTCAAAATCTTACAGATTTTGTGTTATATTAAAAAAGACATCTAATTAGATTCTGAACATCCTTCATGTTTTCTTGTGATACGAAGTCATAATGTTAAAGTCAAGGTAGTGGTTTCCAACTTTAACTATCTCATGTATTTAATCTCCATTATATACCTCACACTGGTAGATTATAGGAAAACAAGATAAATTCAAATTAGCCCCCGAGATTTTCTGTGATCCGTGAAAGGTAATATCACCATATCCTCAGCCACTCCTTACACTGTTCCTCTTGCTCTAGTAATGCCTTTTCTCTGCCCATGCAAATTCTTGCTATTTTCCATTAACTGAGTTCAACAGACATTGCTGGTGGACTCATCGGTCAGGAAAGGAATGGAATGCCTACGTGTGCCTTTGTTCTCTTCGTAGAGGGAGGGACGTGCCAGACAGACAACACAGTTTCTAATCCAAGTTAACAAAGTGGGTGATCCTTTCCTGACATGATTTATGTACAGAACAATTTTAGATTTGCTATTGAAGATGTTTAAGGAAAGCAGAGTTATGTTGGGTCGCATCTTAACATTTTATTTTGTTTTAATATAGGCAACTTTATATGATGACAAAGGACAATGTTTGGAGAGTTTATTTCTGAAGCGTCCTGAGGTACTTTAATGTGTCTACCTTATTTTTAAGTATGGTTTAAAAATCTCTTTAAATATTTCTTTTATGAGTGTTGTTATTAGTATAGTGAAGGCACTAATACAAATAATTAAAGCTAGTATTTATTGGGCATTCATTATTGGCCAGACCCTGTGCTAGAAGTGTGTAGATATTGTTGGATGTGATGCTCACGCAGCCCTGTGACCGCAGGTTAGGAGTGCCGTGCAGGACAGCCTGGCTGTGGTGGGTCTGGGCTGTGGGCTCAGGCAGTGATTGGTCTGTCTGTGGCATGGCTTTGACAGGCAGAGTGACAGTAGGAACTATTTGCGGAGATGCCCCTGTTTAAAATACTGTCTCATGCATTGGGTCTGTGTGCTTCCTGCTGGAGGAGGAAGGGAGAGGAACCAAAGGCCGGTCGAGTATAAAGACTCAGGACGGTGGACTGCACGTTCCAGGTCATTTCCCACTTTCAGATCCTCCTGCAGCTCAGCGTGTGTGTCTGAGGCCCCTGCTGGACACGCCCCCGCGTGGGCATACCCCCTCCCAGCTGCTGCCGGGAGGGCACAGTTCAGGCCAGGGACTCTAAGGGTGCTCGTTTGTGTCGTCTTGTCATTGTGCTGGTTTGGGCCATGGAATTTAATCTGCTTTTAAATTTTATGTGACACTTATAGTGCTTGCGAGGTTTCTGTGTTTATCAAAAGAGGGTCAAGAAGCTCTGTTTTAATAGGTGCTCCCTGGTGGTAACTACTGTTCAGAACCATCTCACTCATTAAGCACATTATCTGTGATAGCACACAGATTTTATCAACTAGGTTGATAATTTTATTTTTATGCTACAGTCAGAGATGGTGGCAAATGCTATATTTCATTTTCTGAGGTGATCAAAGTGCTTTTTTTGGGAATACGGTTTAAACAACTAATACTTTATGATATTTAACTTGTGATAAAGCTATATTTGATATTTATTAGCTCTAGTTTTTAAAAATTATAGTTAGTTGTATGGATTCTAAGTGAACTTAAGATTGGGCATACCTTTCTTGCTTCTCTTTGTACCCGCAGCCTGTAGCAAAGGCCTCCTATGGGTCCCCAGTGTGCTGTTGAATAAACACATCGTGACGTTTTTATGGTTATTATCCTTTTATTTGTGCGTGTTGGTACTTAACTAGTACTTAATAATAGAGAAAAAATTTAGGTAATACCCATTGTGTCTTACTAGTACTAGTAAGCTTACAAGACCACATAAGCCATCAAATAATAAGAGGTATGCGATTTTGATGTTTGTTCTTTAACATCTAGGTGAACCCTGGAGATGACTTAGAAAGTGATCGGTACTTAATCACAGTGGAGGACATGCAAGTTGCTGGGAGCAGAGCTGTTCACCAGGAGGCGCCCACGCTCCATCCAAGGCAGCTGATGTCCTCTGGCCAGTCCCTCAGATGCCAGCCTGCTGGCTTGAAAAGGAAGTTCACTGTGAGTTTCTCTGTAAAAGTCCTGGCTCTGTGTATACCTGGGAGGTCATTCAGGAAGCAGTGAGTTTTGAAGCTGTTATAGTCACATTAACATGGCATTTTACAGTATACACTTAGGTAGAAAGTAAACCCTAATTAGAAAAACTCTTAATAACAATGAGTTTACACTTTAACTTTGCAAACTTTATATCTTAATTATGATTTCACCTTGCAAAATATACACATCCCTTTTTAGCCTGTTCATTTCACATTTTCTTTATAGGCAAGAATAGAACAGCTAATAATTGTTGTAATATTTTTAGGGTTTTCAAGGACCACGTCAAGTGCCAAAGAAAATGGTTATTATGGAAGATGGTGAATCTGCTGCGTCACTGGAGGCTGCAAACCATGATCCTATTTTTCTTTCTCCATTCTCCCGCGCACCTCCTTTGTTTTCTGTTACTGGCAAGAAAGACGTAAACAGTGTGCTGGTATACCCCAAGGACACTGTTGTCTACAAGGACCCAGGGAGAAATGGCCCACCTCTCTCTTCAGTTGGCTTGGCCCCGTCCTTCAAGGGCGATGCAGAGGTGCTGTGGGGAGAGGAGCACTCCGTTCCTTTACTGGCCAGTGAGCCCACGGAAAGAGGTAGTTTGGCATCTCACTGTTTAGGAGCTGCACAGAACGTCAGGAGCAAAGCACAGATCCTAGCTCTTCTGAGGTCCAAATCAACCAGTACGTCCAAGGAAGTAAATTCTGCCGTGACAGGACATTTCCCTCAGGTGCAGCCACAAGGAAGTTTAAAAATTCCCACTAATCTGAAGTGCTTAACTGAACAGGAAGAGTGTGTAGAGGGGAGCACAGAAAGTTTGCAGTACCAGCAACCGTCCAAAAATAGTGTGAGAAATAAAAGCCGGTGGGCTGTATATTTATCCTCGCAGAGCTCACCTGTTCATGCTTCTGCTGTAGACGGAAATGATCTAGAAAGGAAACCCAAACCTCTGGGAGATAGCATAAATTTAAATTTGAGAGACCTTTTGGTACAAAAAAGGATGAGTTTTTTTGAAACAGATGCTGAAAATGGGAAAAAGTATAATGAAGACAAGCTAGTAAACAATACTGATCCATCCTGGGATCGGGAAGTAAAATTACAAATTCCTTCATTCTGTGAAAGCAACAGCTTACCCGTTACCTGTGGTAATGTGGAAAATTATGGCTTAGTATCAAAATCTGATGTTCCAGAAAATACTAAAATACTTGTCAATCAAAATGACCCCATGTGCACAAAAGGCTCACTCATTAGAGAAAATGCTCAGGAGATAAATACATGTGGAGTACCCAAGAAGGAGTGTGAACAAACAGTGTCTCAGCAGCCAGAATCTGACCGTCTACAAATGGAATCTTTGCTAAGTAGCAGTTCTAGGACCTCTGATGGTGTTACTGACATGTTTTCTAGAAGGAATGCTGATTGTGAAAGTCTTAGTATGCATGAACCCAAGAGCAACGTAACACAACCAGTTTTAGCGGTAAATTTTAATCTGAACAATTTTGAAACCAGTGATAGTGAGGAGGAACCCCAGGAAAGCCACGGAATGGCCCAGGATCCAGAGGGCTGGGAAAAGGACACCTTGGCCAACGACTGCAGTTCAGGTGTTTGGAAGAATTGTGAGGCTGCACGCTGTGCAGAAGGTGGCAACGCACCTCTGCCCCCCTTAATGCCTGTTGGGGGTGAACCTACAGAGACGTTTCCTGCCGAAGAGACTCTGCCGTCACAGCTCGGGGGTGAAGCTGCAGATGGAGTGGACGTGTGGAGTGACCCAGCTCTGGAGTGGCCCAGTGATGTGTACGTGGGCAGTGAGGATGGTGATACACCCGCCCAAAAAGCGAGAAGTAACTGCCATTTTGCTTCACTCCCAAATAAATCTAAAGGTACAAATTCGAACTTACATATTCGTCATTTTTTAGACACAGACACTAACCAGATTCCTGAAAACAACCTATTTTCAGAACAGACTCAGCAACAGCCTTTTATTATGGGAAGTGACTTAGATGAAAATGATGACCAGGTTTTACTGTCGACCCCTGATAGTGACAACAGCATCCAGCTATTAAATGCCAGTGAGAGTTACACAGAAGGGTGTGTTGCTCTCGATAAATCAGACCCCCAAGTTTCCCATTTTTCATTTTACCCTCTGGGAAGAAAGCAATCTATTTCCAAAGACACAGAAGCACATGTTCCTGAATCTGAAGATGTGGGAGGGATTCCAAGTTTAGCCCATGACCATACTGAAGGAGATACTGCTGGAGAAAACAGACAATACTGGAAGAGTCCTAGGAATTCTCCAGAGCCTTCTGGATTAGTAAAGAGCATTTCCCTTTTAAAGTCGTTGTCTGAACACACTACAGCTTTAGAAGGCTTGGAAACACTGAAAAAGAAACATGCTGCCGTTGCGCTGCGAGGAGCGCTGCAGACCTGTGAGCCAGCGAGCAGCCCTGAAGGTTAGCGTGGTATGTCTGTTCTGGACTGTTCTGTCCAGAGCGTGAAGGACGAGAAGATACTTGCTCTGGAGGCTACATTAGAGAATTACAGGGTATTTCAGTAGGTGATACCCAGACATGGTGAGGTCACTTCTAACAGGAAAATGCAGTGAGAAGTGAGTCTCCTTCCTCTCACAGCCTTCAGCCCCAGGCAGCATAGTTCCCGTTCAAAAGTGTCATATGCACACGTCAAGGCCCCTGTCAGCACGCGTGTTACAGTCCATTCCCATTGTACTATACGTTTTCGGACACGTACTAGGAGCTACTTAAAACCCTTGAGTTCATAGTGGTGATCTCTGACTGCACCTGTGCACTGCAGCGTTCTCCTCTTTCCTCCATTCCATAGTTGTTTCTTTGTCCCCGGTGAGAAACGGCCCAGGCTTCCAGCCACATGGTCTGTTCTTGCCTTGGTGCTGCGATACACAGCAAGGGGCTTCTAGGCCACTGCCCCAGTACCACTGCCAGCTTAGAGCAGAACTGTACAATTCACCAGTCCTTGACAGTGTTTTCCTTTGTTTTTCGACTATATCCTACTGAGAGTATAGAGTTGCACGTTATGTTCAGAAATTACTTGGGTTACTTTTTTCTCCTCTACGTGACTGTTCAATATAAATAACAGTTAATTTCATTGTCTATATTCAGTAGTTGGGCTTTTTTTGGCCATCCATGTTGATTTATTTCTGACTGCAAAATGTTGGCCTTCCTCAAAAGGCAAAGCCACTTAAAGGCATATACTGGGCTTCCTTTCTTACGCCTTCCACCCTGTTCCTGTCTGCCTGCTGTGGGGAACCTCTGAGTCGTACCTGTGTTTCCGTTTGCAAAAATAAAACAGCTCCATGTAGCTCTTGTTTTCCCTTGTTCAGCAAAAGGCACCACACTCCAAACATTTGTGAGAACCTTGCTTCTTTTGACCTGGCAAGATGTCCTGGAAGTCCCCTCACTCGTGGGACGTGTGCTTACTCTGTTGACAGCTCTGTAAGGCTTCTGTGTGGCGGGACCATCAGTTCTGCAACCAGCCTCCAAGGCTTTGCTGTTGCAATGTGACAATAAGTAAGCTCATAAATCTGTGTAAATAGACAGGCGTTCTGAATATTGTTGGAGGTATGCAAGTACCTAGCAGTGGGGTTGCTTGGTAAAGGTGTCTTTATGGAGAACTTGAAAATTCCCTCCGTAGGAATCACACCACCTCCCACCCCACCCGCCACATACGAGTGCCCGTTTCTCCACAGCCTCGCCAGCTGGCAGAGGAGAGCTGGCGTCTCGGTGCATTTTAAGTTCGTGTCTGTGATACTGCAAGGGAAACGGAGCTGCTGCTCTTGTGTTTAAGCATCATTTCTATGTATTTATTCACGTACTGTCCTACCCCTGGTCAGTCCTCTCTAATGGTTTTTATTCTCGTTCTTTGGATCAGTTCTTTATGTATTCGCCTTTTACTGTGATATATATTGCAGATATTTTCTTCCAGTATGTCATTGTCTTTTGACCTTGCTTATGGGACATTGGCAGCACCATTTTTAAAAACAAATAATACAGAACACATTAGTAAATATACACATGAGTATGAACAGTGTACTTTATCCTCAGAAAATTTAAAATTAAGCTCTTATTTGAATATCTCAAGGGATTCCTGAAAAAAAAAAATAGGGATAAGTTATTGTACCTGCTAAGATGTGGCTGTAAAATGCAGTTAAGTTTGACAATTGTTACAGTTTAGTCTCTAAAAAAATCAAACAAGCAAAAAAATTTAAACACATTTGGGTAGATATAACAATATAACGCTATAAGGTACAACTTCCTGCTGTAAGGGTTTAAGGTTTAAAGAGCTTAGTTTTGGGAAGTTGGCTCTTGTTTTCCTTACGGAAAAGAAGGTTGCAGTTGATTCTCTTGACCTGCAGTATTTATGTTACATCAAGTCACTGGCGGAGGGACCAAGAGCTATTGCTTTTAGAGGAAATAAATTGGGTTTCTTCACACCTTACGTCGGAACATTTTCATCAACTCATCAAAACAATGCCTTGTTTTATGTGTGTTTCCATTTAAAGACACTTTCATTTACATTGTTGATGCATCAACATGGAAGTCTGGTCCTCAGGCCTGTGACAAACGTGGAAAGGTGTGCCCGACAGGCCAGGAGCAGGACACAGTTTCCAGGGCTCGTGTAAGAGCTGGGACAAGAAGCTGGAAGTGCTAATTTAGAATTTTTTTGGTGGGGGGAGGCAATAAAGAAAAAAAACAGTTTTCATCCAGTGTCTTTCTAAAACTCTTTAAATAGATAACACCAAGTTCCAAAGTCCACTTTTTTTGTGTTTCATTTAATACATTTGGAGTGTTTAACAGGGAAGTAATCAAACTAGAAATAAACAAATTGGCTAAAGATGAAGTTTTTACCAGGTACAGATATGAGGGTTTTTTTACAGTAATGATCACTTGAAAATGATCATCTTAGTGTATTTAGAAGAAATTAAGGTGACTGAATATGCATTTTTTTCTTTTAAGAAAACAGTTCTATTTTTAAACAGAGACCCGTGAGGAGGTCTGGCCCAGTCACGCCCCGCTCTTGCTCTGCTGGACCCCCAGCCCTGCCTCTGAGCCCCTTCTCCGGGGCCTGGACGCGGACCCCACGTGGCTGGGCCTCCCTGGCTTCAGGTCTCAGCCGAAGTGTTACTTCCTGTGAGGGGCCTGGCCACATCCTGCCTGAAGCTGCTCTCATGTTTCATTGATCTGAAACCCTTTGTCTCTCTGTCTGAATTTACCGGGCTTGTTTGGTTATTTTCTGGGTCCCTCCCTTTTTGAGGGACCTTGTTCGTCTTTTTCATGGTTTTTCCAGTGCTTGGCATACTAAGCTTTGAAAATAATGGAAGTTTTTTCCAACAATTATCAAGACTTTGCCACATCTTAAAATTTAAGTTATATTCCTTAATTCATTCAGTTTTAGAAACGGGTTTTAAAAATTTTAGAGCCCTGCTATGCAGATGATGAATAAAATCATTGGGTGTTGTCCATTACAGCTGGGAAACCACTGGTTAGAGCAGTTTCACCAGCTGTTTCCAAGTCTCATCTGAACCGGGATCCTCGGCAGGTACGTTCCTCTGTCGCTGTGCACGTGCTTTGGTTTTGATACAGAATGTCCTGTAATGTGTAATGCGACTGTAACACTAGAGAGGGCCCCACGCTGTCTAGTTTCATCCCCTCAACTCACCTCAGTCGTGCCTCAGCCAAAGAAGTACCTAGCAGGCCCGTGCCCCAGGTAGTCGGTGCCGCTGAACAAGTGGAGCGGTGTTGATTTTTCTGAGTTTTGAGATATTGACATGTAACATTGTATTATTGAAGGGATAAAATGTAATGTGGTACAGGTGTACATTGTAAAATGATTACATAAGTATTTAATGTTTAAGTAGACACACTACCTGGGAGCAGGTGAGATCTCTGTTCCACGCTGATTTCCCCAGGGGAATGGAGTTTCCTCATAGCGTCTCGGGACACGATGCCGCTGGAGGGACGGCCTGCGGGCTGAGCTCCCGACAGGCGTGCAGGTCAGCGCAGCCCAAAGCCCCTCGCTCACCGTGGGGCCGTGGCCGCAACGTGAAAACGGCAGCACTGGGCAGGATGAGCTGGAGCCCCAGAAGGAGCCGTCGGGACGAGTGTCCCTCGGGGACACGGCGCCTCCCAAGGGGCGGCCGCTCCACCGTGCGCGCTGCCCTGTCTGGCGGGCGGGGTGAGGGGGACGGGGGAAGTGCCCTGTTTGCCCCCGTTGTGTATCTTACTCTAGTTTCCATAGTACTGGGTTTTTTTCCTTTTAATCTTGCTTCCCTCCCCTTTTTCTAAATGCAGAAAAAGGTTAAGAAAAACAAAACCTGACCACTCAGATAATTATTAACATTTCCAGCTTTGGGGGGACTCTTTTTTAAGAAGATGATATACAAATAATTTTACATCCTTTCCTTTAATGTCATATTGTCTCATGGTGTTAAAAACCTCATAAATACTGTTCAAAGGGGGTTTACCGTTTCATCCTGTGCACACCCTATGCTTTGAACGGACAGCCACTAGTTTTGAACATTGTGGTTATTTCTAGTGTTTTGCTATATAAGTAAAACCTAGTAAGTGTTTTTACATATAAATTGTTAACCTTTAGGTTATTTTCTTAGATGGGATCCCTGGAAGGGTAACTAACCCGAAATGCTAAGAACAACTTCTTTAGGTTCTTGATATAAAGTGTCATATCTAAATACCTTACTGTTTACAAAATGGGCGCTTATTTCCCATCATAGTCACCAGTACTGCTAAGGTCTCCTGAAATCCCGGCCATGAAAATGGTGTTTAATCACCATTTAGTTATTATTTCTGCGATTGTTATGGTGTTCTTGCATGTAGAAGTCTGTATGTTGTCTGTAGAAGTCTGCATGTTACCTTGTAACTTGCTGTCGCCGTTTGGTTCCTCTCGCATTAGTGCTCTGCTCCGCCGACGGTGGGAGAAGATGCAGTTGGAGCAGGTGCACCATGGCAGTCTTTGCAGGCGAGTTAACTTCGAATGCGTCAAGGGGCTGGACGTTATTTATTACATTTGTGTGTGTGGGTGTGGCGTATAATCGTGTTTGCATTTTATGTGGTCAGTTTCCCACTCGCTCGTAACCAGTTGCCCTGTCACACTCACTGAGCTGAGCCTGCTGTGTTACGCATGAGCGTCCTCGTGGGCGCTAGGATTTGGTGAAGAGCTGGTCTTTTTTCACACAGCTGATTTTACAGCCTCGCAAGTGTCACCTGACCCACAAATTGTCATTGCAGGTCACAGCTGCACGCACAGCCCTGCTGCCTGAGGGGGACAGGAGGAGCAGTCCCTGTGCCGGTGACTCGGTCAGTTCTCACCGTGACGGTGACGCCAGGCGGCAACCTCGCTGTGTCACTTACAAATGGGCACGTCCTCGCTGGGTCTTTCTCTGGAAAAAATAGGGTGTAAACTTTTCCAAGGACAGTTATCACCAAGTATAAACTGCAAATAAACACCAACAGTGCATTTTCCTCCAGAAGGACTTGCATTGAAAAGAAATATCAAACTTTTTTTTTTTTTTTTACAAAATCTGTTGTAATCTCACAGAAATCTTGCAGCCTTTTAATTTTTTTAGCATTACTATGGGAGTACATTTGTATTTTTCTGATGACTTTACTGTCTTGGACTAAAAATGACTAGTTGCTATTGCTGATATCTTACGGTTTTGGTTGCTAAATGATTCATTCTTTCCATAAACTGTTACACTGTTAACAGTTTTCCCTCCTTTAATTTCATACTGGTTTGTGAATTAAGTAACCCTCGTTAACGTCAGTACTAGGTCTGATGGGCAATTTGCAGTGTGCCCAGTCATTTTTTTCTAGTGTCATCAGAGTCAGCTGGGTTTCAGGACTAGGATTTTGCAGTGCACGTGAGGTCAGTGCGCAGGTCCCTCCCCGGCGGCTGTGCGGCTGCTGGTCGCAGGTCTGGAGAGCAGCAGCAAGGCGGGTGGGTCGGGGTGTTCTCGGTGGGCAGCCTGACTCGGTTTCGGAGTGTTTTCCCATCAAACTCATGCGCACACTTCCTGGTATTTTATTCTAGTTCTTTTCCTTGGGAAGTGAAGAAGGGCCAGCCTTTGCAACTGTTACTCCTAAACAAATTGCAAGAGAAACCCGGGACCCTCAGGTAAAATTTGTGAAGAACACTGATTTTCTAACTCAGTGTGTTTTCCTGCTGTTTTTACACAACCATCAGAGTTTTCATAGGCAGAAGGTGGGTGAGTGGAAGGAGTTCTCCTGGTTTTAAGAACAAGGGAGACGAGGGACTCCTGCCCCATTTTGGCCTTGAGCTCTCCCTCTGTTACTGGCGAGCCGAGCACTGTGCCCACAGGGCCCCCGGGGCTGGCTGGGAGGGTGCGCAGGGCAAGTGGCGAAGGCCCCTCTCAGCCTGGGTCGGATGCGGCGGCCCCGTGTCCTCGCCCAGGCCCGAGTGGGCGCCATTCTGCAGCAGCAGTTGGTGGCGAGAGCAGCTGGCTGCCGAGGCGGTGCTGCTCCTGGAACGTAGAAGGCCTGGGGCGGGGGCGACGGGGGCGGGTGGGGGGACGGGCTGCAGTGCAGGGAAAACGAGGCCCCGCGTACTTGTGGAGAAGCGACTCCCACCCAGCTGAGCAGAGGTGCTCAGCCCTAAACAGGTGAGACTTTTACATTGAAATGTTTCAAAATTCAGAACAATGTTTTCAAAAAAAAGTCCTATGGAAGGGGATTATAGATTTGATTTTCCTTTTAGATGTGTGATTAGAATATTCGTTTTAATTAAGAGAATATTCAGATTATGCATTACTGCCATTTTGTTCATTTATCAGTTAGAAATACACCCATCCTCTAGGTACATCCCGTTGGCCCTATTAGAGGCCTTATATTCCCACGCTCTGGGAGGGCTCAGCCACCCTGCGCGGTTCAAAGTCTGGGAGCTCTCCAAGGACAGCAGGGAAAGCTGTCGGGAGCCTGCAGCTTCTGCGGGGGCGAAAGCCCCCTCCGAGCGACCTCTGCTGGGGCTCCCACAGGCCTTTGCTCTCAGGCAGTGGGATCAGATCTTTGGGAGCCAGAGCCCACTACCCCGCGGAGGGGAGCTGGTACTTGGGATCTCTAGCGGGGAGAGGCTCCCCATGCTCCGTCCCTCTCTGCTGGCGCCACGCCTGCTGACGGCCTGCTGGGCCAGCGGGGCGTGAAGTGGAGGTTGGCGCCCTGGGGAAGCCGCGGTCCTGTCCTTGGGGGCTTGCAGTGGGCCTGGTCCTCAGAGTGGTGGCTGGTGAGCCTGCAAGAGGGTGTCCTGGGACACACACTGAAGCGTGGGGAAAGGGGCAGCTGCGAGTGTCCAGCTTAAGTAGCTCGTTGCTGCAGTCCTTGTGCTCGAAGTAAAGCACTCATGTTAAACTGTTGAACTGGAACTCAGTTAAGTCAGTGCGCTTTAGTGCCTCTGACCTGTTAGAGGATAACAGTGTGTCCTGGGTTCAGCCTTAGTCCTTCACGCTTTCTGACGTTCACTAATGCTTCGTGGGAAGCCGAATGGTGTATCCTGTGCTACACCGACGCACCTGTGAGTGTGTCTGTCCATGTACACTCTGGCTGTGCTCATTTCTCGTCCTTTACCTCCAGCCCGTTGAGTTTCAAGGGCATCGAGTGCAGGGGTCGGCCACCAGCGCTGTGATGGTCCGAGGGCGCAGCTCCTGGCCGGCCTGCGGCCAGGCTGCGGGCCACTTCCTGCAGGACGGCCACGAGGCGGACGTGCGCCCTCCAGCAGCAGGGCCGCCTGGCGCTTGCCCTCAGGCTGCCTTCTTGCAGGTAAAAATATTTTTATAGTTGCATCTTGCCAAATCATTTTCTTTATGTCAATGCTAAATTTTCTAAAGGGAGTAGTATATTTAAATATTTGGACAGTTGTATATTTAAAAGGACTCTAGTAACTTGACAGAAAGCATAACATCTGAAATCAAACTAAATAAGGCAAAAATATTTTATTTGAAAGAGGTACTGCTTATTTTAGGATCAGGAATTTAAAGGATTACTTTTGTCTTGGGAGAAGACTAGGGATTTATGACCAGAGTGTGTAGGCAGGTTAAACAGAAAATTTTTTCCTTCAGTTACCCCCCAAAGTACAGCACCGAGTTGTCGTCACACTATCAGATGGAAGTCGTGCAGAGAGAGCAACACGCATGCCTTTGAATCATTGTCTCATAAAGACATTTTAAAATTTTCCTTTCGACTGAGCCATAATTACACATACAGAATCCGCACACAGCCCAGTCCTTACAACAGAGCGAGCCGCCCTCAGAAAACGGCAGGCCCAGAAACCCCCTCTCCCCAGTGTTGTTTTTAAAATTGTGTACAGCGTGGAAATAGAGTAGCAGGAGGTTTTTTGCGTCTTTTGTTAAATGGGGCAGCGCTGACAGTCATCCTGGCTGTTGCCCGTGGGGGCAGGCCGGCATTTCCGTTACGGGGGTGGGTCCCTTGTGTGAATACACCCCGGCGGACCCAGGCTTCAGGTGGGGTTCTTCGCATTTGAGGCTGCTACAGCTAATGCCACTGCAAACACGCGTGTGCTGCCGTGAACTCGAGCTCACGCGATGTGCTTCTGTTGGTTGCAGCAGCAGCAGCAGCACCTGCCGTCACTTTTAGGAGGCAAGGCCCAGCTGCTTTCCCAACCAGCAGGGCTCCCACCCCCACCATCTGGGCTCCCCCGCGGAGGCCGTTTCGGGTGGACTTGGTCCGAATCGCCAGCCCACACTCCCCCTCCCTCCCACAGATTGCGGTTCAGGGTTCCCGTTGCTCCTTAGTGTCCTTAAAGATAAAGACATGTTTCTCATGTCCTGTGTTTTTGGAGAGGAGAATACATTAGAGAGGTGCTCGTATTGGAAAAGAAACTCTTGTCCACTTGCTTTGTTTCTAACTGTTTTCTGCACGTCAGTATGGCCATGTTTACATCCTGAGTTTGTAAGAATGTTCCAAATGGCTGGACCTACCAACAGAGAAGAGTGTCTGTGGAATGAGTGTGACCAATTCCTGCAGAGAGCAGTCTCAGGGCGTTAAAAACGCTGCTTTGCGCAGCGCTCCGTGCCCTTTTATAGTTTGAGGCAGTGTTCTGTCTCAAATTACAACCACACACTACATGTAGGTGTGTAAACACAGAAAGATAAAGATTTAGATATGCCATACACACTTCTTTTTTCTAAATAAACCAATAAATGAATCTGTTTTATAGTTCCCAGATGAAGAAAACTTTCCAAAAGGAGGTGATATCTTTCATATTGAAGACAATTCTCAAGTGGTAGCTGAGTCTAATAAGGACTCAATTGAAAGTGATTGTAAGTAAATTATAAGTATGATTAACTAACATCAAAAAGTTATTTGACATTGAACAAACTGCTATGTAAAGATCTTTGTTTTTCTTTCCCCACAGCAATTTTAGATTTTCCTCCTAAAGATTCAGAACTTTCACATCATTATTTGGATTATCATTTTAAATCAGCAGAGAGGACTTCATGGGAAGCATATAAGGTATAATGTCAAAAAGTTTTACTAGTGGGGAGTAAAAAGTTTCGGTAAAAAAAATATTAAAAACGAAAAATAGGAAAATGTGAAGACCGGATGGCCCATTACCCCGGCTGCTAGCGTCGCCCGAGCGACGCCGTGGCCGAGTAGCTGCTGCTGGGGTGACAGAGAGCCCGCGGCTGCCGCTGCCTCTGCCACGTGAATATGTTTTGGCTTTTGCAGTGTGACATGAGATGAGAGGCATCTATAACTGGAAGAGGCAGAATTAGAATAATCAATTAAAAATGCAGAGTTATGAAGAATGGTAGGATAGGCACGGCCAAGGCCTTATCTTAATCAGAAGTCTGGGAGACATGGGGAATCAACTGAAATTTTACTGTGAAATAGAAGATTCTCAGGTAAATAGGAATTCAGCCGTATTTATTGAACGTGTTCTGTAGGTCAGGAACTTGGAAACGCAGGTGTCGAGCGATGGACAGGACAGGTGCCACCTTGGCCTTCAAGGCCAGCAGGGGAGACAGGTGTTAGTTGGGAGAGCAAACCAGCCGGCAGGCCAAGCTGGTGGCCCGGGACCTAGGGGACGAGGGAGGCGGCTCCGCCTGGGGGGAGCGCCTGCCCTGAGGTTGCGGAACTGGGGGGTGGAGAATGCGAAAGACCCTGCCAGCTGGGCGAGGGGTGAAAGGGAGCGAGGGCTACCCGAGGCTGGGAAAGTGAGCCGGGGGGCCCGGTGCACCCGGCCCTGCCCATGGGGGAGCCGGCGGGACCTGTTGTCGCCCAAGGAGTTTCCGCGGGAGGCCATGTGACTGTCCGTGGCTAAGGGGTTTTGCTGGGAACGAGGGCGGCACCCGCAGCGCGAAAGTGGGCGTAGGGAACCCAGCAAAGAGGAGCCCTGGGTGGCGGGGACCGAAGCAGGGGTGGCGGCAGGGCTGCGAGGAGGACTCGGCCCGGAGGGGGGTCCTGGGGCGGCGGGGGGGCCGAGGTGGGGAGAAGGGAAGGGAGAGCACGGTGCCCGACTCCCAGGGCGGGGCTCAGGCGATGTCCACGGGTGGCACGAGACGGAGGGCGTGTCGGTCAGCTCTGCCACCGGGCGGGGCCACAGCACAGGTGTGCTTCTCCGCCCCTGAGGCGAGAAGGCCAGGGCCCAGGCCCTGGCTGCTGCCGTTTTCTCGTGGGGACTCTTCCTGGCGCGCAGGTGGCTGCCGTCTCTCTGTGTCCTCCCACGGGCTTTTCTCGTGTGTGCACAGATCAGGGACGCCTCCCCTGGCCTGTGTCTTCATTAGCCTTCGGTGCCTCCTAGAGGCCCTATTTCCATATACGTTACCCCGAGGGGCTTCAACCTCAATTCTGGGGGGCGACACACTTCAGTCATACTTGGTTTTTAAGGTGATTAATTTCTGGAGGCACAAGAAAATTAAAGGCTTCTAAGGAGAGTAACAGTGAATAATATGGCTGTTGAGGTCTGAGCGTGTCAAAAACCGTCACTACAGATCCACAGCTCTAGACCTGAGGACAGAACAGAAGCTGCTCACCCCTTGGGTCATCTGCTCCAAACACGACGTCTCCACCTGAGGCCCTCAAACTGGAAACTGATCTTCAGAACCAAATTCCCATAACCCAGATGAATTCAAATCAGAATCTGACATGTTTCAAACAAATCCAACAGGTTCTGTATTTCACATTGCTATTTTTTTGAATAGCGAGTAATTTACTAGTAAGTACATGGTTTCAGTGGCACTGATAAATTCACCTGAACAAGAGACAGTAAGGAAATGAGAAGAGTAAGTGCTTGGTAACCATCAGAAACTCGGTGGCCATCACGCAGAAATGCATAGTCCCTCGGAGGACAGATCTTAAAGGAGACCTGTCCTCTTGTTAGTCCATAAGGAGAGGTCCATAGCGCCTGGAATCTGTAGAACAGTGTTGCTCAGCACCTCCTGACCAAACGTGACCTGCTGGCACGTAACTGGCTCCTAAAGAAATCTGACGGACTGTCGGTGAGGATCTGGTCTCCTTCCAAAGCAATTGCTCTTACAAATCCTTGACTTTGGGTCACTTGGGCTTTTTGCAATCACTGTGTTCCCTGTTTGGACACGATAAAAATGTCAGTAGAGATTTTCTGCAAAGACTACACCTGGGTTTTGAGTTGCAGGCTCCACTGATGGTCCAGGATGCATGACATGCCGCCTGTGCCGAAAGCACAGGGAGCACCAGGCAGGTAGCAGGGCGCAGCCTGCAGGTGGGTGGGCTCTCCCTGGGGCCCCAGGAGGTGCGTCCTGTGCGCGCTCTGCTGCTGCAGGCGCGGCTCTGCTTGCAGAACACTTCAGGGTCACTGCAGAGCTTCCAGGGAAGAATGTGAAGTGTCCAAGAGCAAAACCAGGGGACCGTGGTCTCAGAGTTCCTGGGCCTCAGGCCTTTCTCCCCGGGTCCCCGCAGGAGGCCCCACTGTTGCTGATTGTGGGGAATGTATTCTATCCTGTTCCCTTTGGGACACTCTGTGTCCACTATGGCTCTGCCTAACCTGATCGAAGGCGTCGTTTTTACAACACAGACTACTAGAATTCATTCAAACTGGGGTAAGATGGTTTTGGTCTGTGACTTAGTTTCTTCTTTCTGGATAGGTGACATCACCAGAGCCAAAGTTCTCTGTGTCAAACCCCATGTCTACTTTTTCTTGGAGCTCCCGAGATGGGGACTTCGAGCTAGAATCCTCTGAGGAGTCCCTGAGAGCCAGGACTTCACCAGGTGAGCGTCACTTTCTCCACCTCGAGAGTTCTGTGTTGCGTTAATAGCTGCCTGTCTCTGTGGAAGTCTTACATTGCAGAGGCAGCTCTCCCTTCCCTTTGGCTCCTCCTCTGAGCTCCTCCGCCCCCGCGGGGACCCCTAGCCGGGACCCCTGTGGCATGTCTGGTCCACACCATCAGTTGAATGTGGACCTGTTTCCCCTGTTCTGCCCGGGGCCCTGGCAGTTTCAGCAAGCTCTTCCGCGGCTGCTGCCCAGCTGTGTGCTCGCCCTGGTCCCTGCATCCTGGCTTCCCTGTGAGTGACTTCCTGCTTCTCGAGGAGACCGCTTCCTGTAGGATCCCGTCACTGATGCTTTCCTCTCGGTCCCTGCGACCGCCAGTGTGTCTCCCCTGATTCTGAAGTTAGGTTGGATGAGGGGCGCTCTCATGGGCGGATGACACGAAAAAGAACTTGGCGATGTACGTGGGTGTTTGGGTGGAGCGGGTAGTGGGGTGACTGGTAGACGAAATGGCCCCGGGAGGGCCGGGGTGGGCTGTGGGGTGTCTGCGACAGGTGCGGGGGCGGCGGAGTGACAGTGCCTCCAGAGTCCCACCGGGTGGTCCGCGCTGTGCCGGGGCCCTGGCCCCCGTCCGTGCTGCGTGCTGGCTGGTCAAGAGCACAGCTGGCCCGCCTGCCGCTCTGCTGGCTCCCCGAGTGCCCTGCAGTTTATTTCCAAAGCAGCAGAGACCATCAAGGAGGCACATTACTAGGGAAGAGGAAGCACCGCACCGTCTGATAAAACTTTTAAGCTTGTCTAGTTCTCATGCAGGATTATTTATTCATTTATTCAACAGATTTTACTGCTTTTTACATTTTTAGGAATGTATCTATTACTAACAGCGAAAATCTGCCAAACATGAGTTTACAAATCATGAACTCTTACCACATGTCAGTAGGTCAAACTAAAGCTAAACATCTTTACCCTGAAGGTCAAGATATTAATCCATGATTGTAATAAATATGTAGAGGAACGGACGATGATCCCGGTAAGCTGTGAACTTCAGTGTCTAGAGAAAGAGTATGAAGGTGAGAATAGACTAGGTCTGGGGTCTCGCTGCATGTGCTGCCCTAGGCCTTGGTTGTCCCATCTGTGAAATGAGGGGGCTCCGTTCTTGGCTGAATTCAGTGCCGCATAAATGGAGTGTAGTAATGGGGGGGACCCTAGCTAAGCGGGTAAGAGAAAGAGTTTCTAGTTCATCCACCTTCAAAAAGTTTCAGAGTCTATTAATTCATCTTTGAAAATGTTTTGAGGCTAAAGCCGTTACATTTTTTTTTTTAATTTTAAGAAAGGAAATAAAATGTTTCTTTTTCAAGGCAAGTTGCTATGTTTTTGCTTTTGTGTATAGATACTCATGGGTGTCCAGAGCCTCGGTGATGACCTTAAATACATTTTTACTTAATTGGCTTTTTTTCCTCCAGTAACGACAAATTTCAGCTCCCCGGAGAATCAGGACCTTCCAAGGCCTCCTATATTAAGTAGGGCCCGAGCCCCGCTTGTCACAGTGCCCGCAGCGCCCGGGCCTGAGGACCGGAGTGAAGCCTTCTGCCAGGCGTCCAGGGACATAGCCCCAGAGGCTGCTGCGTGTCTCCGCCAAACGCCTGCTCAAAGCAAGTGGCTGAAGTATCAGAGCACAGCCCGCAGCGGCCTTCTGACTCCAAGCGGAGCCAAGCTGGCCGCCCCAGCTGGCTCTGCCCCGGCGGCTCTGGGGATGTGCTGTGGCGCCGCAGAGGGGAGCCTGGGCCCCGCCGTGGGGGGCGGCCCCGTGGAGCACAGCCCTGTGGCCTCCACGCACCTGCAGGTGCTGCGAGGCGCGCTCCGCCGGCGGCAACTGGGCGCCGGCCCCCAGGACTGGGTTTGCAGAAACAAAGCCCTTTCTCTAAGCTCAAAGCCAACTTCGGAGGCGGAGGACCTTCGGAGCGCATCAGGAGGGCCCACGTGCTACAGCTGCGGCGCGCCGCATTCGCAGGTAAGAAAGCGGCGGGGCTTGGTGCTCTTTTTCCAGTAGCTGCTGTGTGAGTGATTTTGCTCTTGGAGCCGATGGCTGTTTGGATTTGAGTTCTCTGTGATGCTAGCTACAGCCCCAACTTCTTTGACGTAAGATCTTTCCTACCAGTTGGGCGCATAACTGAAGTTACACATCTGGCAGCATCTGGTGCGGTGTTTGCACAGGGCAGGTCCTCCGTCACGGCTCTGGCTGTCCCGCTGCTGGGGCTTCACTGACCAGCCCTCATCCAGGTGGAGGTGCATCTCAGGGCCCGTTGACAGTTGTAATCAGAGAGGGAGATGCCCGATGAGCCATTCACATCCGCTGACTGGTTCCCAGCGGAACCATTCAAAGCCCACTAGGGGGCAGACAAGAAAAGTTAGCTGCCTGTATTGGATGTGCGACACATAGCCATTCTTGGTATACGAGCTGCTTAGAATATTATTTTCTAATAGAATATTATTTAAACTTAGAATATTATTTTCAAGGATTCCGGAAATTTTTAAAAATGTGTCTATTTTCTTATACATATTCTATATAGAAAATAATTTACTCAGTAAATAGCATTTTTTGTGGTTGTTAAAAAAGCTTGAATTATTCCATTTCAGGAGATAAGCGTCTCTGAGCTGTGCTTCCCAAGCGAGCAGGAAGTAAAATCCGCTTGTGTTCCCCGAAGGCAGATTCACATACCAGCGGTGTTTCAGTCTCTGGCGCACTACAAGCAGGTCTTCACGTCCTGCCTCACAGGTACGACGTCACCTTTTTATGTCATGACAGCTGACCGCTGCCTAATGTGGGTGGTGTGGCTGTGCAGGAGTGTGATAGCACACGCTGGGACCTTACATGTTGCATGTTTTATTTGAGAATCGTTATTGCCCATGTTTACTCCAGTTGAATATCAAATCAAAATTGAGTTTTAAAACCAGTAAATGACAGTTTTGTCTTTTTCAAGTTACAGGTTTTTATTTTCTTTTATACTTGAAGTGTTAAAAATGGTTTTGTTAAGTAAGAAATTTTAAGTATGATGCACGGTTTGAGAGCTTATTTTGTTGTACAAGGGCAAAACTAGCCTTTAAGAAAAGGATATTAGTATTAAGTTACATTTTATCCTCTTAGGAGGCTCTTTTCACATTTACCTAACAAACAGCACATAGGTGATACAAACACAGAATTATTTTGTATTTAATTTTCACCTGTTTTTTTGTAGAACATCTGAATATATTGCTGTTTGGGTTGGCACAGAGGCTGCACAAAGCTCTCTCAGCAGCTGACATATCATTTTACACGTCGAACAGAGAGAACCTGAAAACTGTAGAAAATAAGGCGCCATCCTGCCATCACCATCAACCGGCAAAACTTGTCCCGGTTAAAAAGGAAGGTCCAAATAAGGTCTGGCTCCCCTTCCCTTCTGCTCTCCACTGACCCTTGTCTCAGGAACGGTGCACGTACCTGTTGCTTCCTGACGAGCTCAGTGGCAGTCGAGTCTTGACGCGGAGCCATCTGCCTGCGGCTTCAGTAACTAACAAGCTCTCAGTAGGTTTCTGCGGAAAGGTGGTCCGTGTGCAGGGACAAGACAGTACGAGTGGAGGCCAGCCGTCAGGGACGGCTTAGGGGCTGGCTGCACCGCCATGGGCGCAGAGAGGCGAGAAGAAGCGATGCCTGTGCAACTGGTAGGGCGAGGGGAACGCGCCCGAGTCCCAGAGAGAGCCAAGGGCCTGCGTGTGCCGGGCCAACAAGCCCCCGAGGGCGACCGGCACTAGAACTAGGGGCGGCGGGGGACGGAAAAGCCTCCAGACTGATACATTTTGCTGGGTGCAGACCTCTGTGGGAGGAGTTGGTAAAATGATCGTGTATCCACAGGGGGTTGGTCGTCATTGTAAGACACAGGAAGAGTTTTCCTCCGCTGTCTGTATAGTGAGTGTAAACCTGGGTTACATATAGTTGTCAGAAGCGAGAGTTCATAAATAATATTAGAACCATAGAATAAAATGTAAGAGCCACTAGAAGTTGTTTCTTTTAAAGATTATTTGATTGACATGGTTGTCATACTCATAGTACGTTGTTGGCTATAAGGGTTAAGTTTTAGAGTAGAAACGTATTGTTACTTCAGTTGTATTTTAAAACATGAAATGGTTTTCGTGTGTGCATCGTGTGTACACACCTCAGTGAGAGGGGAGGCCAGGTGCTCCGGAGCTGATTCCAGGCCGCCTACAGGGGGGCTCTCGTCATCATCTTAAATCAAAAACACAATAAACATTGTTTTTCAAATAAGCTTATAGTCTCAGAATAACGTAACGTTTTGATAAGGTGAAAGCAAATGGAAAACTATATGGTTTTAAATGAATGAAAAGATTAAGTTGTATCGTGACTAATTTACTGGAGTACATTAATGCCAGGTAACCTTTGTAAAAGTCTCAACAAAAAATACAAAACTAGTAAAAAGTAGAAAGGTTATTTTCCTTGCTAAATTGTATTCTCTTCTTCCATTAGGGTCGTCTTTTTTATACCTGTGATGCACCCCAAGCTGACCGATGCAAGTTTTTTAAGTGGCTCGAAGACGTGACCTCAGGACATTTGACACAGGAGGAGCCCCCGCCCGCCACCGTGCTGAGCGACGCGAAGAGCATCGGCGTGTACTTAAGACGCCGCCAAGTGCCCCTCTACGAGGAGTCCCGGCTCCTGGTGAGGTGTGTTCTGTGACCACGCATCGCTGCCCCCAGTGGCACCAGAGGCAGCGCCGCCACAGAACCCTTGTCAGTCTTAAAAGAGACTGAGATCAGCAAAGTGTCTGAAAGACGGAGCCCTCCCTGTTCCCGGCTGAGAGGGGCCGTCCTCTGAGTGTGAGGCAGCACCGGCGGCCTCAGGGCAGCCGCTGGGCCGGACGCTGCTACCGGCTTGGGAAACATGCGCAGCCCCCCAGGCCCTGTCGGCGAGGCGCAGGCCTCGTTTTGATCAGGGCAGGATGGCAGGCGGTGCCTTTATCGAGCCGTGCGGCGTGGCATTGCGTTCGGGGTAACAGAGCCCTGCTTTTTGGAAAATGAAGTGGAATTTTTTTCTCACAGAAGTGGGAGCACCGGAAGGTAAAGGTAACGCGCATTTGCCTGGTACTTCAGTAGTAACGACATGTGCTGGGAGCCCCGAGTGCCAGGCGGTCCTCCGAGCACTCTGCGCGTCCTCTTGCCTCGCCGTCAGGGCTGACAGGACGCGGCGTATCGGGGCGGTTTGTTGCTCCCACTTCACAGCACAGCAGCTCCTCAGGCGGCGGCTGCTGTAGGTGCGCTCCCTCTCGGCCTCTCGTGACGGGCGGCCTTTCTGTGAGGCTGCTGTTTTCCTCCTCTGACACAGTGCACTCTTATTTTGTACACATGTAGGAAAGAGAGTAAACATAGATGCATCCCGGTTCTTTTCATACTGTATTTTAAAACAAGATTTTAAAAACACTTCCACCTTCAAACTTCCAGCTATAAAATCAGTCAGTCCGGGGAGAGCCATGGCCGCACGCTGACTGGGGTCGGCAACGCTGCGTTTAGTGCACTCGAGAGCCACCCACAGCGGAGATCCTAGAAGTTCTCATCGCAGGGAAAAAATGTGCAACTACGTCAGTGACGTATGTTAACTAGACTTACTGTAGTCATTATCTCACTATATATAGAATTATTATGTTGTACACCTGAAGCTCATATAATGTATATGCCAATTTTATCTCAAGAAAAAATTTGTACCTTAATATTCAAATTCATTTTTGTTACTCATTTTGCAGAAAAGGATTTGATTTTCAAAGAAAACAGTATGGCAAACTGAAGAAGTTTACGGCTGTAAATCCTGAATTTTATAATGAACCTAAAAGCAGACTTTATCTTAAGCTGAGTCGGAAGGAAAGTTCTTCGACTTACAGCAAAGGTGAGTCAGTGCATCATGTTGGTGCATCTCAGCTGCATACAGCTCTGGAAACTATGTATATGTATGCATTTTTTCAAAATTTGATTACTTCTATTTAGTTAACCAAGAACCTTTAATTTCTCCCAGAGCATCAAAAGAGCAGCTTTTGAAGGGACTTTTTTCAGATCCTGTTTTCCTTTTAGTAACAGGACTATGCCGTGCAGGGCGGTCCCTTTCTCAGTGAGCCATCTCATAACCCATCTGTTCAGCTCTCGGTGGGAACGCTCTTTCAGCCGTACCTCCTTCCCAGTCTGTTCCTGTAAATGCCATCGACAGTTCCTCCGGAAGTTTCTCTAAGAGCGCGTGGCCATGTGATTAGATGTTTTACCTTCTGGATGTAACAGAAATACTTACATGCAGCAAAATATAAAACCGGTTTTTGGTTGTGTTGCTACGATTTACATGATGTATGTTGCCTAAGTAATTGAAAGATCTTTAAAGGCTTTGACAGTGGCTTTTAGCTCATCCAACTTTTTCTTTAGAAGAGGGTACATTGCTAATCTGGCAATTGCTCTTTCAGTTGCACACAAATCAGGCTTTGTGCAGGTTTTTAAAAAATTGATATCATCACCAAGAGCAGATTTAGTTGTGAATCAGGTTTCAGTTCCTTCCTGGCATGAATTTCTTCGCACGAGCTTGTGTCCATCTGTGGTTTTTGAAGAGCGCGTCTTCAGGACCCTTTCTTGACTTGTCTGCTGACACCCTGGGCAAATTTTCAGACAACCAAAACTCGAAGTCTCTTAAGTCTCTTCACTTCTTTTCTCCTCGTCTCCTCGTCACTGAGGTTTGGAGCCCCACGCTGAGCCTCGGAAGGTCTAGGGAGAGGACCCACGGCTCTGGCTGTGTGGTGCCTGTGTCCCCGCCCGGAAGCTCTTTCTGTTAAAGACGGCTTTAAAAAGGATGGTTGAGTATAGTGTATATTGTGAATTATGATATAATAGATCAGACCGTTCCTAGAAGACCTTCATCTCCTCTTGGACACTCTTCAGGTCTTTTCACTCCCCAGGCCTGTTCCCAGAGCCCCCACGGATACACTGGTGAGCACAGCTGTTCGTGTGTCGGCCGTGCCTCCCCCAGCTGGCTCGGCCTTCTCTGTCCTTCCCAGGTCACTGTGCGAGCAGAACACGCTCAGCGCGATCGTTTGATTGGCATAAGCATACTGGGACGCGTTTCATTTTTAGTTCTGGGGACGTGGTCTCCGTTACTTCTGCGCGTCACCTCTCTCTGGCTTGTATTTCTCTCCCCAGGACTTCTGTTGCCCAGATGTTAGCACTTCTGAATCTGTCCCCTGGCTTGCTTCACGTTTCTTCTTGCTTCTTGTCTGGGGTTTTTGTCATGTCTTCCTTCTAAATTGCTTATTTTTAAAATGCATCCATTCTTCTGGTCATCCCTTCAGTTATTACTTTACTTCAACTACCATATTTTTCTAAACTGATGATATTGTTCATGTCATTTTCACAGTTTCTTGCTCTCATTTTGCGTTGCTTCCACCTCCCCTTCCTCTTCATCTCTCTACCAGCCTCCCTGGAAATTCCTTGCCCATCTGTTCTGGTGTCTCCTTTTCTGAAGGACTCTAACCTGGTGTGTTTTTCTCTTGCAGTCTTTGTGCCCCTTCAATGTCTCATTACTTTGGCCTGGAGGCTGATTTTCCCCAGGGCATCGGCCATCCTTTCCAGTGATGCCCACGGCGGGGCGGCCCGTCCGGCGCTGCAGTGAGCTCAGGAAGTGGGCCCCGTCCCAGCTCTGCCATGTCCTGGCCCCCATTGTGGGTGGTTTAACCTCACTGTCCAGGGAATAATAGTAACACCTATCTGACATTTAAAATGTCCGTTGACCTGAAATACAGTATAGGTTCCTGTGTTTTACTACTAGGAAAACCCCGCAGACCCGCGCGCCGCCGTGGGACGCGTGTCTAGTAACCTGTCGGCGGCGCCCAGCAGTCGTGCAGGCGCCCCCGCCCCCACCAAGAGCTCCCCTGGTCTGCGGTGCCCCCGGCGCCTGCCCTGGTCGCCCTTGGGGGAGAGGGCGACATGCTCAGGTTCAGCCTCAGCTCAGACCCCGGAGTCTGGTGTTGCCCCCCGTCCTTCGTTGTGCCCGCGCGGCCCCTCTTCCTGGGGCTGCTGGGCTTTTGGGGGTTTTCCTGGGAGTTGGCTGGCAATATTTTTTTTTCTTTTTTCAGATTTTTTTTCTATCATCAGTAAGGATTAATAATTCCACAGAAAACACATGAATGAGATGTTATATGTTCAGGTCCTAGTTAGGGTGGACTCTCGCAGGACTAACCAATTTTGTTTTTTGAGAAATGAGCAGGACTAAGCCTCTAAGAATCTAAAGTAGCTTTGGATTGAGGATAGTTCTGAGCCCTTTAAAAAAATGTCTTTTTTTCAGACGACCTGTGGGTGGTGTCCAAAACCCTGGACTTTGAGTTGGACACGTTCATTGCGTGCAGCGCTTTCTTTGGGCCGTCCTCTGCCAACGAGGTGGAGCTGCTACCTCTGAAAGGCTACTTTCCTTCCCGCTGGCCCACGGACGGTAAGTGTCACCGCATCCGCCTTAATGCGCAGTGAGCGAGAGGAGCCAGGAGACGCCCCACAAACGAGATTGCTGCCTGGCGCGCGCTGCTTCGATCCCAGCCGAGGAGCAGCACCCGCCCTGCCGCCTGCTCTTGTGTCCCTGGAGACGCATTTGACGGCTGACCCTGGAGACACCTCCACGGTCCCAGCCGCAGAGGCATCAGCGCGATGAGATGGGGCCCTCACTTGGGTGTTCTGTTGACGTTGAATTTACACGGCGTGGGCCTGATTTTTAAATAAGAAATTTGTCCAGTAAGTTCTAATTCTCTTGGTTTCTTTAATTCCCATGGCTTGTTATTCTAATAGGGTGCATTCAGTAAAGAAATCGTTTATATTTACACAGAGAAGTTCCTAGACTTTGAGGAGGTCTTGAGAGCAGTCTGGGGGGAGGGCGCGTGACCCCCTGGTCCCCTGGTGCCCTGGCCTGGGCGTGCTGGGTGACACCGGGGGCCAGCGGGCCCAGCCGGCCTGGGCGGCTCCTGTGTCGGGAGCCCGGGTCAGTCTCGGACTCGGGACATGGTCCGTGTCCAGTGAAAGGCTCACGTTTTTAACTTCTGATGTTTCCTGCACCAGAACTGAGTAGTCCCCTTGTGAAGGGAATGTTTTGTCACTTGCATCTGTTCACATGTTGCAGTTGTTTCCTCACCAATATCAGCATCTAATTTCCTGCTTTCCATGTATTTCTATGAAATAATTGAGGAAGAAATGCCACAAAATGCTTGAATAGCACGCAGATGCTACGGGCACAGGACAGGGTGCTTGCTGTCACCGCGGTGGCCCTCCGTGTGCCTGTGCGGCTGTGTGGGGCGCAGTGCCATCAGGCCGCAGCCGCGGCCACACTCAGCGGCGGGCAGGCGGCAGGCAGCCGGCCTGTGCTTGGGGCCTGCAGTCGCGGGCTGCGCCCTCCAAGTTAGTGGGTCCTTGACCGGGTCTCACAGGCCCTCTCCCTCACGCTGAGTGTGTCCCCTCTGTCCTCTCCGCAGCGGTGGTCCACGCCCTGCTGGTCGGGAACGCCAGCACGGAGCTGACCGCCTTGAAGAACCTCCGGGACTGCCTGAACCCTGCCACCCTGCCTCTCACGCAGCACCTGTTAGCCATGTAAGTCTCTCCGCAGGGCCGAGTGCACGTGCAGGAAATGCACATCCCGGAAATGTTGCCAACAAAATTGTAATTGTCTTTCAGAGCCTAGGAGATTACTGCCTGTCGGTAGGTGAAAATTAAAAGAGAAAGGGAAATATGCATTGTTTCCCATCAACCATCCACTCACCCATCTGTCTGTTTATTGTGGTTGGAGCTAATGAATGTTACTGCAAATCTCTTTCCCATTGCCAGGGGATAATTTCTTAAGGAGCAAGAGTGTTGCTTTTTTTATTCATCTATATTTTATGCCACAAATTACTTAATGTTTAAAAGAATCATTTTATAGTATCAAAGTATCATGTACACTTTCATGTTATATATCAGATTTATTCAATTACAGATATTTAAATAATCATTTTACAGCTTGATTCTAGTATGTATATTGGTACTAATTTTATTCTTGACATAACCTATATCTTATTTTTAATTTCTCAAGCACCAAGCCTCCTTTAAAAAATAGGAAGTGATATTTTATTTAATAAAATGACAAAAAAACTAGTTCAAATTTGGAATGTTATGGTCTTTTGGTGGTGTTTCATTTTTCTTACCGCAATGAAGTCCTATGTAAAAAACAAACCAACCCAAAAACATATAATTCCAATGTGTCTTTTTCCTACTTTGAAATAAACTCAATCTTTATAGAACTAAAGCCAATTTATCTCTTGACAGTTTTACCGAAATATTGGCCCTGGCTGGGTAGCTTGGTTAGAGCGTCGTCCAGATACACCAAGGTTGTGGGTTCAGTCCCCAGTCAGGGCACATACAAGAGTCAACCAATTAAGTAAAATAACAAATCTATGTTTTTCTCTCTCACCTCCCTTCCCTCCTTCTCTTCTCCCCGTCCCGGGGGGAGGGGGGTAACCCTGAAAAGAAAAGAAACAGAGGCTATAAGAATGATCTAATAAGCCAGCTTGCGTAATAACGCATGGGCGTCAGTGTCAGTGTGCCACTTAGTAGCTGTGTGCTTTCTGGGAGAAACATATTTACTGTATCTCTAGGTAAATTAACTACTTCCTAATGTTGTAAGATTACAACAAATAATATATGCAATGCTTACCATAGTGTCTGCACATAGTAGGTACCCTACAAATGTTAGTTCTTGTCTCTCCTACCCTCCTCCAAATTAGAGTGCATATACATTTGTGCCCACAAAAAGATATTCCCTGTGAGGTTTGTAAAGTGAATGCAACTATTTCAAAAGCCTCTCATGTTTCTTTGATTTTATTTGCTGCCCTTCTATTAGGCCTTCATCGACTGCAGTTAGCAACAAGAGAGTGGATCGAAGAAAATTCTCCCCTCCAGCCTTCTCACACGCCAGCCCAGAACGTGGCCTGCCCAGCCTGGGGGCAGCACTGCAGGCGGCCAGCGAGGTCGCCCGGGCACACAAGCTGAACGAGGATCAGGCTGCAGCTCTCGCCCAGGTAGCTCGCACGGTGGCATCGCGCGGGCCTGCCGAGGAAGGGGAGGGGCCACGCCCCTGTGTCCCCGCCATCACCATGGTCCACGGTGAGGAGCAGGGGGAAGCGGTCCATGCCTGGCCATGTGTGGCCTCTGTCACCCAGACTCTGGCTCAGCGCCTGACTGCGCGCCAGCCTCTGTAACTTGGTCTGCTTCCCTGTCACCTCCCAGTCAGACGTGGTTCCAGACCAACTCTAAGAGATGCTGTGAACTCACTGTCGTAAACTACCAGCAGCACAGCGGGGGTGGGAAGCGCCATGCACCCGTCCACTGGAGTACCCGGATGTCTGCGTGTCGCTAAAAGGGCGTCACCTCTGATGAGCAGAGCCTTTGTAACTCCTGGTTGGCTCAGCCCGCAGTGTCCCAGCGGCCGCCCCAAACCTCCCTTCTCGTAGCCGTGCTGGCCCCTGGCCCGCGCCCTGAAATTCCAACACAGGAAGTGCAGGTCCACACCACGGCTGCACCCCTGCGTTTGCCATGTTCCCGCCTCTGGGTTCTGCCTCCGTGAAGGAGCTTTACTTTCTCCTCAGAGCTAACACTCCACCTGGCTGGGTCCCCCCTTTAGCGCCTTTCCTCCCTCAGACGCCCAGCGCGAGCTGAGCTGACTTTGTCCTGCTGACCAAGCGAGACCCCCGGGATTCACCCTCAGTCTCTGGCACCAGATGCAGCGCTTCCCCCAGCCTCCCACCCCTGTCCTGTGTGTCTGCCGCGCTGTCCGATGAGTCACTGTCACTTCCCCGTTTCTGTCTTCCACGGCGATTCTCACCAGTTCACGTGGACCCCTCAGTCCGAGCCTCCACCGACCGCCACGGCCCTAGTGGGAGAGACTGGGCCCCAGTCAGCCTCGCGTGGGGAGGGGGAGTGCCCTCCCAGAGCCGGCGCGGGCGGGCTGACCTGGACTAAGGTCCCCGGGGGCCCCGGCCCGATTGATCCCCCCTCCTGCAAATGAGGGCTCCAAATCCTTGCAGTTTGGTCCAAAAGGCACTGTCCTGACTGGTCAGAATAGAGCTGCTGCGATTGGTCAGTTAGGGCCACACAGCTCTGATTGGATGGGGAAAGCCTCGGTCCCGCTGGATGAAGCCAGGAGCTCCTCTGCAAGGGCTGCTCGGCGGCGGGAGCCCGGTGCGCAGGGTGCCTGCGGGGCCCGGGCCGGGGCTGCTGCGAGGCTCTGCTGCCTCAGTGGGGCCTGTGCGCCACCGGGGCCCTTCTTGGTAGGAGGCCTCCTTCTCAGGGTTCGCACTTTGTATTTCCACTCAACTGGTTTTTCCAAAATGTGTTATGATTAAGTCGATTTCATTGTTTGAGACCCGTCAGTAACTTCCCCTGGCCTTCAGGACAAATTCCGCTTTGTAGCCGTACCAAGCAGAGCTCTTGTGACTCGCCCCCAGCTGCTTCCTCAGCCTCGCTCTCGCCGGTTTGCGCTTGGCTCCGTGGGGGGGCTTCGCAGCCCCAGGCTTCACCCAGCCTCTGCCTAGGTGGCCCTTCCTTTACGGGTCCAGATGTCTCACTCTGGGGGACTTAGTTCTGCTCCTTCCTGTTTTTAAGAAGCATTCCCACCTCCAGCAAACCAGAGAGTTCTCTCTTGGATACAATCACAGTGTCCTTACCACGTTAACTACTTCTCAGTAAATCTAGTGGGGTCACATTAGCAGCATTATGTAAGATTCAGGTGTACAAGACCGCCGTTTGATGTCTGTGCGGAACTGCATGCTCACCCCCCAAAGCCTAGTTGCCTTCCATTACTTTCCTTTGACCCCCTTTGCCCACTGCTCCCTCCTGAACATGGGACTTCATTATTGTTCCTTTTCTTGTCTGTCTTCCTAAGGACGCAGTGGTCTTACTAAGAGGTCTTTTCATTATTTATCCCCGTGCTAAGCACATACTGGACACTCGATTAATGGTTTTTGAATAAATCAGTTAAATGAAGGAGAGAGGAAGATAAATTATTTCTTGTGCTTTCAAAAAATGTGTTTATGAGATCCTTTGTATTTTTTCTCTTCCTCCCAAATAATTAGGTGTTTTTGGAGCAGGAAAGAGTTATTTGTTGGCAGTGGTGATTTTGTTCTTGGTGCAGCTGTTTGAAAAGAGTGAAGCTCCTGCAGTTGGAAATACAAGACCGTGGAAGCTTCTAATTTCTTCTTCCACTAATGTAGCTGTTGACAGAGTACTGCTGGGGTGGGTATGACAAGTGCATTTAAGGCTCATGCTTTAGGTTTACTGTTGAGGGAGGCACCCTGCCTTGGGCCCTGAGTGCTGGGTTTGCCCGAAACTCAGGGCCTGTGTCTCCAACTCGAGCAAGATCCAGGAGATAGTAACAGGCTGACTGGCTAGTTTGTAAGTCGGAGAAACTCAAACATCCAACTTACAATTTTGGCACAAGGATGGGGTGCTCGTGTAAAAATCCAAGGTCAGCCAGGAGCACGCAGGGCTGAGAGGTGTGTCCCTGGCGGGGTGCTGAGGGCGCAGGGCCCTGACCGCCCTTCCCAGGGCAGGCCCCAGGGTCGCGCTGGCAGCTGGCAGCCTGGACCGCCGGGCTGGCGTCTTCCCCCGTGACTGAGAGCCTTGCTCGCTTGTTATAAACCAGGGGACCCCAAGCCCAGTGCTCCCCGTACAGCTCGGCCACTGCATGAGAGGCCCCCGCCAGCCCCAGGGGACCGGAGTGGACGGGGTCAGGTTGGCGTCCAGGCCGGGCGCGGAGGGGGCCTGCGGCCAGGGAAGGAGCAGCAGCACAGGGTCGGGACCCCGACGGAGCCAACGGAGCGGCTGAGGCAGGGGTTTGGCTCCGGCAGGAAGGGGCTGATGGCGGTAACCCTGGGGGTTGTGACTTTTTAGAACTTTATTAAAAATGCAGAGACAGCGTTACATAGGATTTTACCAGTATTCTAGTGTTTAATGATCTAAATTTCAACGTAAATGACAAAGTTTGATTAGGAGAAATAATTATGGGTAGGCTTTTTAAAACTAACTTTTATAATTACATAAATTAATGCTAATGGTAAAAATTTGTAGTCTGTACAGATAATTGTATTTCTTTACATTTTTTTAATACGTACACACATTTTGTTTTCCAAACTTGGTATGAATAGTATATATTGTTTTATATCCTGCTTTTAAATCTTTTTAGAAAACATAATTTTATAGCTCTATTATATGCAATGATTTGCTTATACCATTTTAAAGCAATATTTGATCAGTCCCTTCTAAATTTTTCCCATTATGAGTAATATTGTGACAGAGATCTTCAAATAAAAATCTTTGTCTCCGCTTCTGATTTCTTCTGAGGAAAAAGTCCCTGGCCCAGAATAAAAGGCAGAAACACACTTTGCAAGCCTGCTCTTCAGAAAGGCGCTGGGCGGTGCACTGCCCCCACTGAACAAGCCCCCCCGCAAGAGGACGCGCCCTTTAAAGTTCTCTGAAGACCACATTGTGTTAAAACTCTTAGCCGCTTTGCACTGACTTTGAGTTTAAGCATTTCACATAGAATTACATAACTATAAAGCATATTAATGACAATTTTAATAACAAATACTATATGAAACTTTGTTTTATACTCTACTTTCTAAATAATCAGGATCTTACTTTGTAATGTTTAAAGGCTTCTCAGTCTTGGATTCGAAAAATTTGTCAGAGTCGGGAGTGTTAGGAAGATCGCCAAGCCTGTCCTCCCTTACAGGTGAGAACGCTCAGTCCCGAAGGCTGCAGAAAGCCCACGGGAGTATAACAGTTTTATAGACCTCTTACCTTAAATTTGGTTTTGAAGCGTAGAGAAGCCTTATCTTTTTCTTGGTTCACTTAGAAAATCTGCACTCAGCTCTTGGGGCGTGTTCCGGAAGCGGAGTCCAGGGGCACCCTTTTCTGTAACCCTTTGCAGCGTGCATGCTGGCTCCGCAAACGAGCAGCTGAAAGAGCTGCAGGCGCTGATGAAAGAAGACCTGAGCCCCGCGGACAGGGTCCACGTGAGGAAGGGCATCGAGCAGCACAAACTGGGGACCCACAGGACGCTGCTGAGGCAGGTGAGGCGGCCTGTTCTTAGGGTGCAGAACCGCCGGGGTCTCGCCCTCCCTGCGGCCGGGCCGTGTTCCCGGGGAGGAAGACAGTCCGCAGGTCGCCCGCGTTTCACTGGGGTGTGAATCCGGGAACAGATCCAGCTCACCACGACTGCGTCTCCTTTTCTCTTTCTCCCTATTTATCTTTTTTCAGTCTTAAAGAGGAAAGTGAAGAGGCGGGAATATAGTCCTGGCAAGTTAAAGGAAACTTGATTTTTTTCCTAGGGGAAATAGAGGGAGAGAATGTCTGTCCCTGGGCAGAATATCCAAGTGACATTTGCCTTTGATGCTCCCTCAAAAGCCGGGCCTTTCCGGGTCGTCTGTGCCGGAGCCCAGGAGGCCCGGAGACGTGTTCCAGGCATCGGGAGACAGGACGGGGCCCACGGGGCTGGCTGCGCCCGCAGCTTCGTCTCCTTCCTCACCCCCTTGGGGCCCAGGGCAGCGGGGACCTGCCGGGAGGAGGCAGCGGCCGCGGGGGAGCATGAGGAGCGGAGGGGCGCAGGGGAAGACGGCTGGGCCCGCACACAGGGGCGGTCGGCCCACCTGCAGCCTGGCAGCCTTGGCCGAGGTAACAGACAGGGCTCGGCCCTGCGGGCCCGTGGGCGGGGCTTGTTCTGGGGGCCCCGCCTCTGGCGGGACAGTCCCCGGAGCGGGGGCAGGAGTGCGGCGGGGTGGGGGCAGCCTGACTCTTGGGGAAGGTGCTGCGCCACAGCCGCTCCGGGCCCCCCCCCCGGCCCCCCCGCCCGTCGCCCCCGCAGCGGCGGGTCCGGAAGCCCGAGGGCTTGGCAGGCTGGGCTCAGTCCCCGCGGGCCGCGGACCCCGCCGGTGGAGACGCAAGAAGAGCTGGTAGTGGTTCCTTCGGTGTTTTCTAGGGGAGAGCCCAGCTACTGTGAGGTGTCGCTCGCCGGTCTCACCTGTTCACAAACGAAAACTCTTTCGGGGTAACATTTTTAAAGTTTAACAGATTTCCAGGTACACGTTTAGGCCTGGTACGGTCCTCAAGTGACACCTTTACAGTGATACTAATTTTAAAAGATGCTTCATAGTTAATTCCCAGCTCAATAATAAAATCTATTTTGCTGTCAGAATCTCAGCGATATTATAAAAGATACAAATAATATAATTTTTTGAAGAAAAAACTTACTTTCTTTTGGTTTTTATATTAGATATTTCTGTAAATTAAAAAAAAAAAAAGCATTGCTTCCTGATTCACAACTGTGGGGCTGTCCTCCTGAGGCGGTTTTTGTCGGGTTCAGTTACAGACCCTGGCGCGGAGTGACGCTGCAGAGCAGCAACGAGCAGTGTCACTTGCTGAAAGGTGGCCTCTGCTGGGACACTGTGTTTACTTACTTTTCTTTTTAAGTTTCTTTTTTTTAGATTTTATTTATTTATTTTTAGAGAGAAGGGAAGGGAGGGAGAAATAAAGGGAGAGAAACATCGATTGGTTGCTTCTCTCACGTGCCCTGTCCAAGCCGAACCTGTGACCCAGGCATGTGCTCTGACTGGGAATTGAACTGGTGACCCTTCGCTTTGCAGGGTGACACTGAACCACACCCATCAGGGCTCTGCTCGGTCATGTTAAAGGGACTGAATGGTTAAAAACTGGAGGTTCTAATATGAAAGTGGCTTTCGGATTTTTGTTTTGTAAAGAAGGAAAACCTAACTGACAGAGGGCTGTTGTATGTGATGAATGTTACTTGTCATTTAAGAAAACAAAGTGTTTATAATATTTTCCCATTCAGAAGATCTCTAGAGGGAGTATTTAATTGTAAAATGTATTTTTGTCAATCACATTTGTTGCCAAAAGATATGGTTTGTATGGACTGTTCTACTACCACAAAGTGTAATTATACTTCAGATTGTGAGAAGAGAAAAGAAATGTGTGCACACGTGTGTAAAACATGCACGTATATGTGTATATGTGCGTAGTTATGTGTATATATGTAAATGTGCTGGTGTCTAGTTACATGTGTGCACACATGTATGTGTAAAGGTGTATGTATAGTTATAGATGTGTGTACATATGCATGTGCACGCACATCGTACACACATGTGCATAGACCACATCCAGTTAGAAAATTCATGAATTTTCTTCTTTTTTAGATTTTGTTCCAGAGATTACATATTAGCTTTTATCAGGCTTTTGCCTTGAAAATAATGCTACCCTGGTGTAATATTCAGGTCTGTAAGACTCGGATAAACTCACAGCTGTTGCGCAGCCACCCGGAATGCGCTTCTCGGGAGGCCGCAGGCACGCCAGGCAGCTCAGCCAAGGCCGTTTGTCAGCGCGTCCAGCGTGCGCTGCGGAGAGCCGTGGCCTGGGCTGTGTTTGTGCCGCCTCGTCAAGGGGGGCAAATGATGTGCGTTGCCCTTGACATTTTTTAAGTCCTGGGTATTATAATACCTTCCTTCCGGGTGTAAAAATGAGCCTTTTGTTCTTATTAACAGACTGTGGCTTAAGTCGCTGCGTTCTGGGATTTCCACTTCGCCCGTGGGAGTCACGACCACGTGGCTTCAGTGACCTGTGGGGATCCTAGTTTCCCATCGCCAGCAGTCACCGCGGACACGTTTTGATTTCACTACAAATCTTAGGGAAACACACCCTCTCGTTTTCTAAGTAGCCGACGACCACCACGCCCTCCTGTCCTGCAGGTCCGTGTGGTCGGAGCCACCTGTGCGGCCTGCCCCTTCCCCTGCATGGACGGCCTGCGGTTCCCGGTCGTGGTGCTGGACGAGTGCAGCCAGATGACCGAGCCAGCCTCGCTGCTGCCCGTCGCACGGTAACCACGGTCCTTCCCAAGGCCTGGGTGTCACGGCCTCTCCGAACACTTCCTCAGTCCAAACTCCTGCCGAGCGTTCGTGACAGTCGTGGCAGTTCAAGGACTAAACTGATAGTTTTTACGAACGCAGAGGGAAGCTCCTAGGTCCATATGCATAGCCCCTGAAGCTCGCCGCCTCCCCATGCGTGTTCTGTAGAGTGCTGGGCCCACGCGGAGGCCGGGGCACGCAGTCCACTTCACGTGGAAACACACACAGTCACACCGAGGGTTTCTTCACTGCGTGGCTGCTGTGCCCTTCAGTGCATGTGTCGGCACGATTGGGCCTTGTTTTCAGGGGGGTGGTGGGGGCTGAAGCCTTTGAAATGCATTTTAGAAAATTGTGCCGTATGTGTCAGTGTGAGCTTTTTCTGTCGTTTGGACTAACTTGGAATCCTGTTTTTAGGTTTGAGTGTGAAAAGCTGATTCTTGTTGGAGATCCCAAACAGCTTCCTCCCACTATTCAGGGATCCGACGCAGCTCACGAACATGGATTGGAACAAACTCTTTTCGATCGACTTTGCTTAATGGTACTGCTGCTAACCTCACGCAGAGCCACTGACTGTGGCACCCTGTGTAGGTTGATGGAAAATGAAAATATTTCCATCAATGTAATTGGAGTTGTTTAGAAGCACTCATCTTAAAGATTAGTAGAACCCCGTAATTTAAATGCCCTTTATAAAATGTCTTTTTCCTGTGTGTTTTAGGAGTAGGTAGAAAGTATATTGCTTTTGTGCTAAAATAAAACAAACAAACCTATAATCTATAAGCTATGTCCCCTGTCTTCCCCACATTTAAATTTTTTTAAATGAATCATTGCTATATTTTTAAATGAGGCGATATTCACAAGACATAAAAGTAACCGCCTTAAAGTGAGTCGGTAGCACCTGCAGCGTCCACGGTGCTGTGCAGCCGCTGGCTGCCTCTGTGTAGTCCCCAAACATCCTTGTCCACCAGAACCCACCGCACGTGCCCGGCAGCGCCAGCCCGCCCCTCCGCCGCCCTGCTCCTGGCGGCCGCCCGTTGGCGCTCCGTCCGGGTGGGCCGACCCGCCCGGACTCTTCATCTCTCGCAGCCCCACAGCTTCCCCACCGTGCAGCCCGGAACCACCCCGCGTGGCCTCTTGTGTCTGGCTTCGGTTGCCTAGCACGTGTTTGAGGTTCATCCACATCATGGCACGTTAGTACTCGGTTACACCATAGTCGCCCCTTATCCGAGGGGTGTGCCCAAGATCCCAGTGGACGCCTGCAACTGCAGACCCGAGCCCCATGGACGGGTCACCTTGCAGCTCCTCTGGGGCGCGCCTGAGCCAACAGCATCACCGCTCTTGCGCTTTGGGGCTCTTAGAAAGCCAGGGCGACAACACGGTAACACAAGCCCTGCGGTGCCGTGACAGCCCCCCGACACAGGCTGAGGGGCTGACGGCAGCAGCGTCCGAGGGGCGGGCGCGCTGGACGCCGGGAGGGCTCAGCCGGGCGGGGCAGGTCGGGGTACGAGGTTCCACCGCCCCGGTTCCTGCACAGCAAGTCTGAGGTCCGGCGTGGGCGACAGTTGATGATTTTGTGGTGTGATAGTAACTTACCATGATGGTATTTTTAGTAACTAAAAAATGTATTTACAGTTTACCATGTTTGTAATTCATTTACTGACAGCACAGTGTGGCAACACTTTAAATGTCTGCCTTTAAATGTCTTAGGGTCACAAGCCAGTGGTGCTGAGAACCCAGTACCGATGTCACCCTGTCATCGCTGCTGTCGCTAACGACCTGTTCTACGGCGGCGGCCTCAGGAACGGTGTGTCGGAGACGGAGCGGAGCCCGCTGCTGGCGTGGCTCCCCACCCTGTGCTTCTATGACGTGCAGGGGCAGGAGCAGGTGCCTGGCGTGGCCTGGCTGCGAGCGAGTGCCGGCTCCGCTTTGCGGCTGCTGTTTGCGTGATGCCCTCGGTCTCCCCCGGCCGTTCTGGGAAATGTCATCTTGGGTCTGTTTTTCGTTCCAGACTGAAGGAGGGAACAGCTTTTACAACATGGCAGAAGCCGCCTTCACGCTGACGCTGATTCAATCACTGGTTGCCGGCGGAGTGGTGGGCTCCGCGATCGGGGTCATAACGCTGTACAGGGCCCAGGTGGGCCAGGTTCGTGCTCGTCTCTGACTTGATTGGGTGTTACAGGGTGTCATTTTCTGTCACAGGCTTTGACCTTATATTTGTAATGGTTTGGTTTGGGCCTGGAGGAACTTTTGGGGCCATAATTAATGTATTCCAAAGGAAACATTCTGATGTGTGCCTGGTCTGGCTTCTTTTCTGTATAATTAAATGTAAACTTAACAAGGTTTAATTAAATTCAGTTTACAGCTGTTGGGGCAAAAATGCAAATAAACAAATTAGAGGGAAGAAAATGTGCTGTGTGCTTTGTGTTTTGGGACAGATGGGATTGAATCTGTTTTCCAAAATATTCTCCCATTATTATTACATTCTATCAGTAAACCAAAGATAGATACCAGATACTAATGTGTATTATGAGCCAATGACTTATAACGAGTTTTTTAGTTTTAATTTTTTAGTATTTTTAATGTTTCATTACTAGTGTATTAATTCTAAATTGGCTTATCCAAACAAGCTTCCCTGCATCAGATAAGTCAACACTTTTCAGCTTGTTCCATGGCTTATATTGTCACTTAGTTACTTATTGGTCATTTTAGAAACGAGGCAAATACATGCAGGCCTAGAAAAGAGTGAAATTCCCGCTCTGGTTAAGCTACAGCAGCCTCCGCAAGGGCTCCAGCTTCGTGCCCTGGCCCCTGCGCGCTGACCGTCCTCTCCCCCACAGCTGTGCCACTTGCTCAGGGCCGTGGCCTTGGACCAGCCCAGCCTGCGGGCCGTGCAGGTGTCCACGGTGGATGCCTTCCAGGGGGCGGAGAAGGAGGTCATCATCCTGTCCTGTGTGCGGACAAGACAGGTGGGCTTCATCGACTCAGAACCGAGGGTGAACGTGGCCTTGACCCGAGGAAGGAGGCACTTGCTGATTGTGGGGAACGCGGCCCGCCTGCGGAAGAACCGGCTGTGGGGCCGTGTGATCCAGCACTGTGAAGGTGAGCCGCGTGCGGTCCGAGCCGGGCGTCTTGAATTCACGCTGGACCAGGGAGGGCCGCGCTGATGGTGACTGAAGGGTGGTTGGGGCCGCTGTAAAAGTCGCCACCTCGCGGCTTTTCTCTTCTCAGGGAGGGAAGGCGGGTTGCAGCAGGCGAGCCAGTGTGAGCCGCAGCTGAACCAGCTCCTTAAAGAGCAGTCTGAGCACCAAGCAGAAGCAAAGCAGAAGAGGAGGAGAGAGAAGGGCGGACCTGGAGACAGAGCCCACCTGCAAAAGGGCGCAGAGCCTTTGGATTTGTAGAAACTCAAGTTCATTTCACACTGTGCATTTTTCATGTTTTTATTACCCCAAAACCCTTGTTATCAAGAAATACTTTGATATTTCAATATTAAATACATATGAAAATTTGCTCTTCAAAAGAGTATACATTACTTTTATTAATACAGACAGATGTAGAAGGTAATATGAAATTTCACTAACAAAAATTGTTTTGTAAATAAGAATTCTGCTAGAAACAGTTATCAAGGGGCAGGGGGAAAGCCTTCATGACTTTTTCAATGGTATCTCAGAGCTAAGTGAGCGTCTCAGAAGCTCATCTCTCAGAGCACTCGCCACAGCCTCCTGGGGGACAGCTTGCCGACTCATAAGGAGAACGTCTCTGCAGTAAAACCTGTAACCAGGATGGGAGGCGGGGGAACACCGGGAGCCGGCCCCCAGACGCGGCCGCAGGCCTGCCGGGCCAGCAGACGCCCCGCCGCCGCACTGCCTCTGGCTTTCTCCTGCGGGTTTGTTTGCCTAGCGATTATTGGTGTACAGAGTATAGAATGGCTTTCTAAATTTTTTATTACAAGAAATATATTCTGCTTATAGGAAATCTTTGTTAATTTACTGCCTCTTCTTTCTATGCTTATATTCTATGTTGAGTACCGTAAACAATGTGCTGGGCCATGTAGACATTATTAACAAGGGAGCATCCACTCATCCTGTGCGGAAAAGGGGCGCGGGCTTGACGACAGGCGACCTCAACGCCGGCCTCACCCATGGACAAACCTGCGCTGCGAGCCACTCAGTGTTCATTTTAGAGGCGTGGGGAATCGTCTGACTGACTGACTGTGCGCTAAAAGCGACCAGGCTACCTCTTTGAAACCAGCAGACGGGACTCGTTTCGCGAGCCTCGTCCCGCGCCCCACGCGGGTGCCCGGGGCCCGCGTTCGGCCGACCGCCCGTGCGCACCGCCGCCTCTGGAGCCGGTTCCGGCCGCCGGGCCAGTCTCGGGGCTGCTTTCCCGGAAGCGTCTGCACAGGACATGCTGGAGGCTGTGGCGCGCGGGTGGCGGGTCCCCAGCGCTTTGCTGTGCTCGGTCGTCAGAGGCCCGGGGAGAGGAGCCAGGGGCCGCTGACCCCTCGGAGGTAAGTGTGACGGCGCCACCCCGCGGGGGAGGCCGAGACCAAGGGGCGCGGCGTCCTGCCGGCCGAACCCGGAGCCGTGGCGCGGCCTTTACTGGCACAAAGGAAAAGGCCGGCCAGTACGGGATGCGAGATCTCCAGACTCCCGGAGAACGCCTGCTCTGTCCTCACATTTCAAGGTTGGGAAGACACAAACTGAATTTTTAGGAGTATCCCATTCAATAAACAACACACATTAAAATTCCTCATGATTTTACGCCATGCTCCAAGTGACAATGCCGGTTTTACCGTGAGCGCTGTTGCCTCTCTCTCCATAGCAACGACGTTAAAACGGCGGAGTCCCCTGTGTGGTCTGTGACGCGACTACGTAAGAATGTTCCAGGTTTTGTCTGTGGGAAAGGTCTATGCATCACCTATAGGTAGAGTGAAATTTCCAGGCTTTAATCTATTTGTTGGTTGCCTTTGCTTTGCAGGCCGGTTAGGTCTTTTTTCAGAATTCTTTCTAAAGATCACCCTCATCCCTAGTGAGGACGGGCCCTTTCCCCGTTTTCTGAACGACGCAGCCGAGGGCCAGAGCGACAGCAACCACGCAGGCGGGGCCCAGGCCTCCCTCAGGCTCCTGGCCCAACCGCCCCCGCCCCACCGCCGCCGGAGTCGGGTCCCCAGAACTGCGGTCCCCACGGGCCCAGACGCTCAGTCCCGAGGAGTTACTTTGGTCAATTTATTGTGTAACAATTTGTTAACTATTTATTTATTTGCACAGCTTCTATACCCCAGTGAGTATGTCTCACTCCAGAAAAGCAAGGGTGGACTTTCCTTGGAAGGTCTACATTTGCTGCCAAAAGATCCAGTTTGCTACTTACTGCACAAAAACTGATTAACAAAAATGTACTAAAAGCTAAGCTGGTGATTCTTCTATTATCACAAATTGATTAAAAAAATAATACATTTCATGCTCATCTCCATAGCCTGCCCCATCCTTATAAGCATACATTTCAATAGTTGAGTTACTTGTGGAAAGTTGCAATTTAAAATCTAAGATTGTGAAGCCCAGCATGAAACTTCATAATAAAATATAACTTTCGGTGTTCTTTAATATTTAAACAAAAAGAGCATTTGAGCTGTAGATGCCAAAGCAAATCCCAAAGGCTGCCTGCCCTTGACTGTTTAATCTAAAGACAGCTGTGAAATAGCTTTGTGCTAACTCAATTCCTTTATATTAAATAAGAATAAAATGGAAATTGGTGATTTACTTGACAGATATTGGACCCTGAAAATTAAATAATTGTTCTAAAAACATTAGCTCAACGCAGATTTGAAATGCCTGCTTTATAATTAGTCATGAGCAAAACCTATGTTTACTTCCATTGTGTTTTTTGTTTATATTTGTGTGACTTGAGTATAAAGTAAAGGAAAAACACAACCCACACATCTCTGCCGCCTCTGAGGTCCTCTTACCCTGAATGCTAGTTAAGTTGGTATTTTTAAACTCTGTTAGTCTTAGTTATGGGTTTCGATACCATTCTTTCTAATTGGGCAAATCTGGTCCAATTTGTGTATGTGTGATTGTGTGTGAATGTATTGAGTTGGCAAAACAATTCCTTTGGTTTTTTTCCATACAATGGCTCTAGTGATGCTTAGGTGTCTATAACCTCATTCAAAACACTTTTGTTTGTATTGTGACAGCTGTCATATCAGCGTGCATTTTTTAAAAATTGGTGAATTTTTTTGTAGCCATTTTAATATGAAAGATGGAAGAAAGTATGCAACATTTTTGGCATAGTATTCTTTAATATTTCAAGAAAGGCAAAAACGCAACTGAAATGCAAAAAAGGATTTGTGCATCGTACAGAGAAGGTGCTGTCAAAAATGATTTGCAAAGTTTTGTGCTGGCGATTTCTTGCTGGACGGTGATGCTCCATGGTCAGGTAAACCAGCTGAAGCTGGTAGTGATCAAATCAAGACATTAATTGAAAACAACCAGCGTTCTACCACACAGGAGACAGCTGACATACACAAAATATCCCAATCAATAAAGTTATTGGTGAACATGAAAAATGTGCCTTTTAGCAAATGGACTTTTTGGCCAGCACAGTGTGTGTGAGATTGTGTGTGAGCGTGCGTGTGACCAGATGGCATCTCCCACTGGCCTGGGACTCAGCTGTGGCAGGCCCAGCGCTGTGAGTGGAGAGGAGCGGCCTGGCCCACGCGGGGACGTCCCTGGCCACGGATTCAGGGCATCAGGTGACGGGTCATGAACAGCCAGCCGCCCAGGGCAATTGCTGAGTCTAGATGTTGTGTGAAATTTGCGTTTCAGTCAGGCTGGGCAGCAAGCAGTCTCCCTGCTAAAGCCCTTAGGCTACCAACCATAGTTGTTTAAAGTCCCTGGTTTGATAATTACACTGAGCGGCCAGGACTGGCTCCCATGCTGTCTCTTCAAGTTGTGTGTTTTGTCTTTCGTCTCGGAAACACGATTCAGCAGGAAAAGGATGAGCTGCAGCTGCAGGATAAATCTGTCCTGACTCGAATTGCGCTGTTGCTGGGACAGCAGCGGTGGCTTCAGTAAGTAGTTTACTCTGCACGCACACAAGTTTGGGGGCGGAGTCGGGGGCGCGGGGCAGAGCAGCTGAGGGCCTCTCCCAGGCTGGGGTTGGGGGGTAGGGGGGGCGGGGCAGCTGCTGCTCCCTCTTCCCAGAAGCAGGAGGAGGGAAGAGGGGAGAGGGGGCCATGCCTCTACCTCTGGAAACCTGAAAGTGAGCAATGCCACGTCTGCTGACACCTCAGCGGCCAGAGCTGGGCTGGGCTGGCCACTCCTAGCACAAGGACAGTGAGAAGCATCGTCTTCCCTGTGGGCGGCCCTGCGCCCCACTGAGAGCGGGGGTCCTGTCACTAGCCGAGAACTGGCCAGCAGAGGCCCCGTAGTCTCTTCCCTGGTAGTGTCCCATTTGGGAGGCTCCCTCCCAGCGCATTAGGTAGGAGAGGCCTATTTCCAGGAATTGTTGAAGGACTGGGGTGGTGGTGTTTCTGTCATTTTTGGGGTGGCTCCCAGCCTTGGGCAGTGCTTCGGATCCGGGTATGGGTGTTCGTGGGGACATGGGTTCATCGTGGCTGCTGGTTTTGTGGCATATTACTGTGCTGTTTGCAGTTATGTGTCTGATGATACTGGTTTAACATAGTGGTTCAGAAGTACGACACTATTTGTTGACACGTAATGGCAGCCAAAGGACACTGCCTAGATTTCTCTGCACACGGAACAGGAAAGTGGTGGAGCCCTGACCCATGTGGCTCCGTCAGGTCAAGCGCCATCCCATCACCGAACGGTTGCAGGTTTGACCCCCAGTCAGGGCACGTACGTGGGCTGCAGGCCCAATCTGTACTTGGGGCACGTACCAGTCCTCATTCTGGGTGTGTATGGGAGACGACCGATTTGTGCTTCTCTCTCGCATTGATGAGTCTCTCTCTCACCTACTCTCTCTCTGAAAGCAGTGAAAGAATGTCCTCAGCTGAGGATAAAACAGTGGTGGACGTCATCACACCATGTCTGGGGGTGTGGAAGGCACCCAAACTTGGAGTTTTCAGTGGCAGTTGTTTGGAACTTGTGTGGTGAGTGTCATTAGGTAGCTTAAAATATATGTATGTGTGTATAATTTATCACATCAAATTAATACTAATTTGGATGGAATTACCTGTATAGTTGTGTTTGCATTTAATTTGTAAACTTGGTTGGTTTTCGTGATTGCGTAAGAGATATATAAACATCAGGGATTTACACCAGGGTTTATGTTTGTACACCTCAAACAGTAGGAACAGCCTCTGCACTGAGGGACCACCGAGAACCGTCCTTTTCAGGAGGGCCGCCACATTGCTCAAGGAGAGGGCGCAGGCTGGGTGCAG